ATTATCAATCAAGGTGGGGAGCGATTTAAGCTTTAACCTTCAAGTCTCGTCTTTCGACTGGTAACTCCGTTACTGTCATCTTTCAAATCAACCGTCACAGTGGCCTCAAAATGCTCCATTCATGCGTGACATGCAGGCCTCACTTTCAGAAAATCACTTACTTTTCAAAAGAGGTCGACCAGCTACCAGCTCAATCAGTACTTAGTATCCTTCAGTTTTCCTTTCACCCGGGAGTCAATGTCTTAGAGCTATCACAGCCTGCCTCTCTACTATGGTCAAGGTCTTTAGAGTTCGTGTCGACAATTCCTGGTTTTCAAGGCCTGTCTTGGGCACCGGTAAACGATGCCTCGCCATATCAGCAGATCATCGTGCTTATCCAGTGGATTAGCCCATATTCCTGGAAGCTATTCCAACGGTCTCTGGGATTCAGTATGATGCTAGGGTACATATCAATGATATCCAATCGTTGTATACAGCTTGATCTCCCTGTGAATGTCTCTAGTTTTGCATGTCACCTTGAGCTGGTCTCATTTCGGTTTTCAACAATGCAAGCTTCTACCCAGCTAGACAAGAAAGCAGAGTTCAAATCCAAATGGGAGACGTCCTTATCGCCATTGCTTGATCTCGCTACTGCTGAGACTGGATTAATAACTGCCTGTGGGGAATGGCTGCAAAATGACCACGATTCCGAAGATCAATTTTTTATTGGGTTACTCTTCTGGCGATCATCACATATGCAAGCTTCTCCCCAGCTGCTTCAAAAGGTCAACATCTCTGACCGTCTAGAAAAGCTAGTGGAGGATTCAACAGAGGTCATATCAGCTCTCACGGGTCAGCTGAACCATATATCATCTGATTTCGTTCAGTCACAACTACATGATCCTTTTCCGGATCCCTTGCAGTTTCCAACGAATCACCAACTATTCAAAGTACCCGTGGAGCCTAGATACAACGCGATTGAATCAACGGATTCAAACGGCAAGGATAAATACCATCTTGAAAGCATGGTACAAGCGCAAATAACCCCTGCTCAGCGTCTTGCCGTCGCGCCTGCAGGTGTTTGGTACCGAATGGGGATCATTTCCCAACATAATTTGCCTCCCCAGCCTTTTTCCGCACATAAAGCCAACATCGAGATGATCTCTTTCATTGCCGAGGCTGGAAATGAACGGGTATCAACCTCATTTTCAAATCTTCGGAAGAGGCTTTGGCAACTAGGTGATTGTCCCCAGCTTGTGTGGGGAAAGAATCAGAGCAGCAAAGATGGAGAAGATGATATTTTGCTTTTTATTAGTATGTGTCTCTTTATTAAAGGGGCTAAAGTTCTAGCGATACTAATTCTCCTGATACCGCAGATCTCGAAAAATCGAAGCACTCTGAAGAGAAGACCGAAGCGCAAATTGCATTGTATCTCCGGGAATTCCTGAATGATAATAGCAGTTGCATACGGAACTTATCCTATAGAAGGATTGTCGGACCATCGCGATTGGATCATCTTCCTAATATAGAGATAACCATATTTGATGTTCCGGCTAACGACCGGCGCTCTTTCGAATACGCTTATTCTAATTACACGCAGTACGTATACCTTGAAACACGACATTTGTCTTATTTCCGCACACCTGCCCCTAGAAGCCAAGTACTGATTTGCTAACCTTCACCAAATAGAACCACACATCAACAAAGTAGTCTCCCAGTTTTGTTCAGCCCTTGGTGCGCTATCAGACCATTGAGCCGTGGATGGGTTTCTGGAAAGCAAACTGAAACGGTGTCATTTATTGGGACGTTTTGTTGTCTTAAGGAAGGAGCCCGGGAAGAATGGTATGGTGATTTTGCTAAGCGAGCTCAAACTGAGTACGATCTCCTGGGTCATATTGTGGATTGGTTGCGGATTCTATCCACGAGCATCAGTGTGCAATATGTGGTCTTCGAAAGGGAAGATCCTTGGATGACCGCGGACAAGTCGGAAAAGTATAGATTGGAGAAAGAAGCTTCTCGGATAGCTGCAGAGAAGTTAGAAGATGAGAGGCAGGCACAAGCAGTTGTCCCACCGTCCATCTTTGACCTACCTTGGGCAAGTAACTCAGAAAAGTCTTGACCTACTTAGGCAGTTGATTTCAACGATTCATGCGAAATGAAAACAACTATCTGATTTTGGTGCATCCTACTCAGGTGTCAAGTCTAGCGAAGAAAGGAAAAGAAAGAAGCTGACGGTGGAAATGGAGCTCTCAACAGGCATGGCTGGCTTTGGGCACACTTTCGCAAGCTTTCCAATCTGGCATTGTTCGCCTCCATTCGCACATAGCAGGCAAACACGCGCAAGCTTACTGGTTGTTCTATCGGTACTGTCCCAATCGTGACAGCTATTATCCCCAGGTATCAATTCTGAGTAGGCATCTCTTTTCTCACATTTACCTTCTTATTCCGCTAACGCCCTCTGTGGGACGAAGAGATTTCCGGACTACTTCCTACTTCGGACAGGGAACTTCCCACTTCACTAAGCGAACTTCTCCCTTTTACAAGAGAACTCATATAGATTTTGATCAAGCGACACTTGGAACTTTCCTTTCTATTGAATAGATTCTTCGGCTTTGTCGCAAGCTATATTAGACTCACGATACAAGCCTCGACATAAAGGGGGCGGTTAGCTACTAAGTCTACTTAGGAGGTATCATTTACACAACAGTCCGATTTCCTTTTCCTATTCCTGGAGTGGTACTATCCAAAATTATATTCATACAAAAGGGGGTGTAAGAGATATCTGGTTTCCCAAGTATTTAGATACAATATTTTCAATCTTAACTGCTATCTTCTTACTATTGTATAGCAGTTATGTATGATATGTGGAAGATTTCTACTACGCGAGATCACGTGATCGGATCACAGACACACCGGCCAAGACACCCCTTGATTCGAGCACGTTGAGGTCGTAGCCACTTTCGGATTCAGCCGTATCTCCATGCTCATGGTGTTCATTCGCCGTCCGAGCGGTTTGATCATCAGATCCGCGAGCATCTTATCAGAAAGATGCTGCAGTTATATCTGCTTCTTGACGATCGTGTCTCTGATCCAGTGACAGTTGATGTCAGTATTCTTAGAACGAGCATGGAATTGAGCATTGTGGGCCAGACCCATGGCGCGCTGGCTGTGGAGTGTTGAGCAGCATGGGGCGCACGCCTTTGAAGTTGATATCTTTGAGGAGATGCATTACCTAACTAGCTCTTTCGCGGCTGCCATGATAGCGATATATTCAGCTTCACAAGTTGATAGGGATACGATGGACTGCAGCCAGGTCAGTCATGATTAGAGATGAGCCGTCATGTCTCTGGCTCTCGCGGTTTGGCCATGATGGCGCGTTTAGACTGTATCAAAAGCAGTTGCCTGGCGATGGATGCTGTATGTTATTTAATATACAGTCTATCTCCATGTTTTGATCAAGCTTTCTAATTGGCTGCAATATCTTTACTAACTGGTCGTGTTTCCTATTAGGGCCTTCTGACTTATAGAGAGATTATAGGCTCTAAATCAAGTCAGGTAGGGCTAGGCCAGGTTTATTCGAGCATTTTCCAAAAGGAGGAAAGACTGGCTATGCGCTGACGGCGGAACGCTCAGTGTTTTATAATTCACTTATTTCTCCAACCAAGACAGGTGATTTAGCGCTTGGTGGATCCTACAAGTGCGTCCATCATGATGCGAAGCCCACAGGGTGATGTATGCTCCAGGCTGGTGATGTATGCTCCAGACATCACCACCTCCCTAAACTGCACCCTCACTAATCACCACCTTATTCAAGCGGCATCACCTCCCATCACCCATGAGGGCACCCACCCGGGTATTGAACGCGTTCAAGCCACACGCCGGCCGGTTAGTAGTTGGGTGGGTGACCACCAGCGAATCCCGGCTGTTGTATGTTTTTTGTCTTTTATTATATTTTTTGACGTTTTTGATGTCCTTGACGGAAGTGATGAAGACGGCGCATTGTAGAGGAAGTGCAGTCTAGCCCCTAGGCCAGAAACAAGGACCAGCACGTGACGACTTAACCCTAACGCATCAAGCATCAAGGCTCGAGACAATAAACATTGGCGTAGCCAGATGAAGGGGGTTGTAGATGGGCAGTAGTTGCTTTGGGTGTTTATACTTGCTTAACGTTTCTCCTTACAACTGTCAAATGCTGCGAATAGAGGACTCAGATTCAGGACATAATTCCGTAATCAGATAGGATTAGGAGTGATCCTTGACCTACTCTAGTCTAGTGGCATATTCCCGTAGAACTATCTTAGTTAAAGTAGCTACTACGCCATAGGCAATGTGGCATCTTACTACTTCGCTACTGCTTGACTAATTAATTAACTTATAGGGGCGAGTCCTAGACGGACTATCAATGCCCTCTAATAATGGATATCCGACAATTTAATGCTCTTCTAACGTGAGTATCTGCTATCCTACTTTTGCTTTCTGTTTGCTATTTTTTTACATTGTACATTTATGCGTACCAATGCTAAAGAAAAGACTAATCTAATAAATATGGCCTGTAATCCCAAGCTACTGCATTTTTGTTTAGGATATTTGAGATAGGGGTAGTTACAGACTACTGATTACTAAAGTTAAGCTCGTGCTAACTAGATAATACCAGGGCCGGTTTTACAACGGACTTAATGTACTCCGTACCTTGCGCGTCACGTAGCGCCTGTTTGGCATTGATCACATCCATAGTTACTTATGGATGCAGGGGTCAACAAGAACATAAACACCCTTCTACGGAGCAGGACAACAAACCTAATGTCTCGCAATAGACAAGTGCTCGCATTGATGTACAGTCCCCCTGAATCATCTTGATATCAAACCTGCAGTCCGATTGCCGCCCTTGTTTATGAGGATTCTCCTCGCGAGACGAATCGCCTCTCGAGTCCATACATTGAAAACCCCGCCAATCGGAGTCGAACGAAACAGGTACCAAGTATTTCGACACAAAAGACGAGAAAATCAGACCAGAAAGCAAGATGGGATTGAGCAGTGAACAACTGGTCGAAGAGGCACGCTGGAGGGACGCAAGATTCCCCCCACGTCCATGGCGGTGGATAGACGGACCAGGGTGTCAGATACCCTCGCGGCCAACTAACCGAGTAGACATGGATGGGATGGCCAAGTGGTGGAAGCTTGTGGACGCCGTCTGGGACTACGATGTATGGGGATACCCGCCCGCATTGCACGCGCTTATCAGATGCGATTGTCTTCAAGCTTCTCCTCAAGAAAATTGCCAAGGTTCGCTCTGAGAACTGGCCATTTGACTTCAACAGCAGAGGCCAAATGAGGTTCGAGCGCGAACCGCAGGGTCCAGCGGTGCGGATTGAGCGCAAGGACCGATACTACTATCCCGAAATTGGAGGGCGATATGTCTTGGGTGGGGAAATAGCAAGAATGATCGATTCTTGGTTCATTGAGCCACCATCGTATGATACTAGGAGGGATTCGATCTACTTTGGGCGTATCGAGGTGCCCAGCTGGGCAAAGGACCAAGGAGCCATCATTGTCTCGTCGCGGGGTGTTACTGGTCTGACATTCGATGATGAGGACCGCGTTTCCTGGGATGGTATGTCGGGGACTCCGGTTATTTGGGCCAAGGAAGTGAGCCTTGAATGCCCTACCAGCCTTACGCGAGCCACTGTTTTCACTGCGGTGAAAACCCAAAGTGGCCAAGATGCGATCCTGGTCGCTTATGACCCAGATGAGGAACAGGAAGACGCGCAAGACTCCGAAAAGATAATCGACGTGAAAAAAGAGAGAATTGCCATCAAGTCAGAGGTGGTAAATGGAAGCCAGAAACTTCACCTTCCGCGTACGCCCAAGAGGAAACCAGAGCCCCAGGTCAACCGTCGCAGCAAACGTGGCAAAGCCACGTCAATTGCCTTAAAAAGAGGACATTCCCATCAAGTCTGAGGCGGTAAATGGAACCTCCGAACTTGATGTCAAGAATGAACCTACTGTCAAACCACCTACCACCACGCCTCAGCAACAGTCGTCAGCACACAACAGGTCTCCCCGTATACTCAAGAGGGAACCAGAGCCCCACATCGTCACCGGTCACAACAAACGTGGCAGAACCAGGTCAAGTGCCTTGACCCAGGGCAGCAACACTGAATCATGGGTGGAAATGGCTTCCACGATGATCCGCCAGGCAGCCTCTGCGGACAGGGAACATCAGGCGCTGATTCGAAGTATTCGCGAGGACGTCAAATCTCTTCAATCCAGAGCTAATGCTTTAAAGGCGTCAGCACCGCTGCCTAGAGCTCTAGAGGATGTCCGGAAACTCATGGCTGAGCACGAAGACGACGTGCTAGGGACAGAGCAGGTTGCGAGAACGATGCAAATCATCCTGCAGAAACTCCCTTCTTGATTTCCAAGAAATATCCCTCCAGTCCATGAGTATGTTGATAGCAGGCGCGAGTATGTCAGCTTCTTGACCTAATCTTAAGAGACCTGGATGAGGACAATGAGCCACAGTTCAAATATATGCACAAAACCCATCAATGGGCCAAAGGACGTATGAGTTTGATACATACTGGAGAGTGACCAAATAGTACTATATTCTAGTGCACTGTATTCCTGTTATTTTGCAGTTCGGCAGATAGCAATAGTCTGGAAAGGAGAGAGAACTTGTACTTGGATTAGGAGACTGATGCAGATGAGCCAACAAAGACTGGAAGTTAGCAAAGAGGAAGCAGGTACACAGCTCAGTCATGCTGTTTACTGTCAGGGATTTGTTCGGACACAGCTAGCACAAATCTATTCAGTTAGTAAGGGATGACGACACGATAGCGTACTTTAGACACATGGGACGCATTCCTCATCACTAGACAAGTAGGGAACATGGCCAGGATAACAAGCTGGAGCTCTGGCCATTGCAAGGTATACAGAGGCCTTAAGTTCATATAAACAAATAAGTTCGAATTGTCCATCAAATCCTCGATGGTCTAACGGTCATGATTTCCGCTTGTCACTCATACGAGAACGAGCGCGGGAGACCAGGGTTCGACTCCCTGTCGGGGAGATTTGTTTTTCATTAATATCTTTTTTTGTTTCTTCTTTCTTTTTATTGGAGAATCATGTTTATGTCCTGATTTCTTAATGTTTTATTTTGCGCTTCCAAGAAGGTAACCGCACTAGGATTTGTTTGGATACGAAAAAGGCAACATGCAAGGATATATCTCGCCTACTCCGGTATATAAATCTACAGATAAACCGCATTCCAGATCTCCGACAACCTTCCATCCCATGTTGTGAAATCGTCTACTCGCACCAGTGAGTACCCTGGATCCTCCAGCTGACGCCTATTCCTGGCTTCCCATCGCCTTCCAGCAGCGGAAAAGTCGTCAAACCAGCTATCTTGCAGCCCAATCTCGAGTTTCTCCCACTGTCGGGAAGACGCCAGCTCCGACCAGGGACGAATCCAGGCTTCATCCAGCTCTTCTGGAACTGTTCCAGCGCGCGGGGTGCAGCTTTTGTTCAAAATATGGATAACCAAGCGCAAGCGCCTGACGCCAACGTACGCTAATCGTAACGTCCGGAAGAGGGTTTGGTATGTCTCCCACTCGTAGTCGGTCATTGTTGACGGTGTAGTTGCCTTTGCGACGTGCAGAATGTCCAGCGAAGCGATGCGCGATAAATGTGACGGCGCAATCATTTTCGGCAATCGACATAGCTTGACCGATGAGGAAATGAGGAATGTATTTGTGCTGTAGAGAAGAGGAAGTGCTTCTAGGTATCTGGCCCACAGTCAGCTCGATCTCGCCGATCGTAAGGACGTTTCAGCGCTCACGCTCTTCGGCACACTCGCAGCCACGCCACGCCTTTCAGCTTGTACCGCGATAACTGTCGTCGTCCAATCCGCTTCGGATCCTCGAGGTCATTCATACGACACATGTCTCCGGGATTTGGGTGGTCCACTTCATCACAAACCCGATGCCACCAGCGCCATTGGTCTGGCGGCCTCTTATCTCTCTGACGGTAGCCCGGCGCATAGCTAAAATCGTATTCGAGGTGGACAGACCGACCACCAAACAGCTCAAGGTATATTCGCTGACGGATTTCTTGGGGTAGACGCGAGAAGAATAGACTCTGGTCCTGCGGAAGCGTGCTGTTATTGTTCAGGTCGAGAAAATTGGTAGTTGACGTGTTGATGGCTGTGAGAGTGTTGCTCCTGCTCCGGATGGTCGCAAGCTCTTGATCGGGAGGAGTCAAGGGTCTTCGGGGTGGGGGAAGAGGCATTGCCTTGAAATCGCGACGGTTGCCATTCTGCTTGCAGGTTTCATGATAGATGCCTACCCGAGCCAGGATCGTTCGCGGGTCTGATTGTGAAGGGTCCTCTTCCGGCTGGTCTTTCTGTTGATCTTTGCCCTTCACTTTCTCTCTCTCCTTATCTTTATTGCGAAAGCGGTGGAAGAATTGAAAGGTCATGGTGGGGGTGGGAGGCGGAACAGGTGGTCTGATCCGGTTGTTGAATGCTGATTCAATTAGATTGGAAACAAACCAAAGACCTCGGGGACGTTTCACACAATAAATGAAGGGCGCAACCGGCGATTATTCGAGTAACATGGTGGGATGTTTCATGGACCGACCGTGCAATTGGAGGTGGATCACTGTCGTATTTGACGAGGATCAGGCACCAATCCAGATAAACAAAAACAGATAATAATGCATGAATCTATGATGGATAACGTGTTCAATGAAATCATCGTGTGATGTCTGGAACTCGGGATCAACAGGGGCATTGTCGGACTGTGGAGCTGCCAATTTGCACCAGGTCAATAGCCCGCCATGTCAACAAATGAAACCAGTAACGACGGTCTCGATGGAGTCCCGAGGTGTCTCCTCCACCAATTAGAAAATTTTACACATGACAGGAGGTGCCTTAGGCTGTCAGCTAGGGTCCAGGAATGGTCATTCCGTCGTCCCGGCCATTAGCCGTGAATCTATTTCTCGAGTCTTGAATCTCATCCTGCCATTGCCAGGCGCCTTTTAGACTTTTACCAGAGTACAGCAGCCCAACTCTATCAAAGACTTCTAGAATGATGGGTTAGCAATGATGTCATTTCTCGTATCCTAGGTTCCCAGTCAACTGGAAAGATTTCCCTTCTCCTTTTTTCCTCGTCCCGACTGCCGAGTCCCAACCAGCCGGCTCCGGTTCAGCCACAACCTTCGCTCCTCTAAGCAGGTGGTCGTCTATTTTCTGCGTCTGCTTGACTACCTGCTTCCGGCAAGCCTGTTGGACATCCCTTGACCAGCAAACCATTAATGCCATGAACTCTGGATCGGCGAATTTGACCAGCTGTAAAGCGGGACCCTATTGGTGGTGAACCTAGATAAGCTAGCGCACTACCCACAGCTGAACCTAAAGGCACTGTTGGATTCCGTAGCTTGCTGAAAGATGCAGGTCCTTGAGCTGCGCTTCTGGCCGCCGACGAGCAATTATGCCCGAATTGGTTCATTTGGATCGGGTCGTGCGTACACCATGATCCAAAAGTCTTCGTCGCGAGGAATAAATCTGCATTGGCATACTCTTCAGGCTGCCAAGATACTCCTTATGGACCTGAGTCTAGGCCACAAACTTGAGAGAAGATCAATGCCGCTCTGGGGAGATCAGGAGCTTCACAGTTGATTAGTTTGTTACAGGAGATAGACACAGTACGGATTCCCTTGACAAACGCAAACTGGGCAGCATCGCCGCCCAGCGCGCTTCGATGTGATTTCCGTCCATCAGGATCTACCTAAGGTATGCTCTATAGGTAAACATCACCAGCCGAAAACGCTTCGTATCCATGCAATCCCATTAATTGTCTACTCAGTAGCGATATCCCTGCAACCCCCTGTACCTACTTCCTAGCAATAAATCAACTCATCATGAACCATCGTCTTCGTCGTTTTCAGTAGTTCCACCATCAGTAGGAATATCCGTTTTCTGTTCTCGCTGCAGTAAATGTCTCATGGTGTAGTCTTCAATTTGTTCCCGGAGATCGTCAAGCATTAACGATGGCGGCCTTTCCGAATCTGAGAGGTGAAGGTCCAGCTGGTCGCCGAGAATGTCTTCCCATTCAAGTCTAATGCCCTGATGGGCGCGATTGCGGGGAGGAGGATAGAGAGTCTGAGATATGATTAGAATTTGATACATATTACCGGACAATAATAAGTTGGCTTACCATTCTTCGGCCGTGCACACGTCTTTGGCCGGAATCGGGGTCGAAAACATGTACTTCCACAAACGCCGCCTGAATGATTGTTTCGTCTTCTTTCAGCGGCTCCAGCTTGACAAGGATCACGATTTTGATCCGGCCCTCAGAACCTTGCAACAGCAAATCTGCATCTTGCTCCAGAGCATCGAATGATTCTGAGTACCCGATCTCCAGGGCAACCGTTGGCCAGATCGTATTGTTGTTTGGGGTGGCAGGGACCTTTGGGATGACAAACACATCGGGGATCTTTTGGCTAAAACATGGTTAGGACCATTGTGAAGGAGAACAGCTCATGGCTGACCTACCTCTGAAGATAGCGTCCTTGGAAATTGCGTAGGGTGACATTTGTGCAAACGTCTAGTGATTTCAAGTCGACGTCACCTAACAGTACCATTTGCATTGCCCATCGATACATCCAGGTTATAGCGCTCTCATGCATCCAAGTAGGCATTCTGAAACGGAGAATACCGGTAAAAGAGTTATAGGTGTATCTTGCATAGTAGTCGTCCATTAGCGAGCGTATGTATATATGAGAAGTATACTTACTTGATATGTTTTCTCTCGTCCTCGAGAAAGTGTTCGACCTCATTGAATTCGTCCAGCGTTACCTGAATGGACCCCCAGCCGGCTTTATTCAGGAGGAATTGGATCCTCGCTGTGAGGTGCATGTTGACGGGTTCGCTCATGGTACAAAAGAGACGGAGGAAGGTGGAAGATAAAAGTAGTAACGGGGAGGGATGTGCGATAGAGAAGGAGCGACGTTGGCTCAGATGATCGTGTAAGGAAGGAGTCAAATAGAAACCGCGACAAAATCGAGCGGGACCAGTGAGGAAGAAGATAAAGTGAGGGCTTCGAGGCAGGAACAGAACATTAATAGTAAAGGAACTGCGTGGTGCCTGAGGTATCACAACCCTCATTGCGTTCTCATTACATATGGCAAACTTTACCACCGGCTTTTCCTTAGAAGCCTGTAATATATTGGTGCTTGGGTTATCTGCATTGCCAAATCCTGATGTCTGATGCGTATCACTGCAGAGTTACCTAGGTAGGTAGAGGATTACTATACCCTGGGTTGAGGCTTCCATAATACGCAAAAGCGTCATATTGGGCTTCCTGTGCTTGACCTGCAAACCCTTGAAAAATGTACGCCTTCACGATTGAGATATCTTCGGATGAATCGCATCTTTAGCAGGTATATATGGTGCGGGTGAACGTTCAGGAGCCCTTGGGGTTTTTTTAGATGCACGCTGCATGGTTCCCTCCTATGACTCCGCATATCTACACAGCAGGTATTAGTGATCCCCTATTATAACCATGGATGCCTGGACTATGTAGCATATCGCAAGGGTATAATGCTAGCAAACAGCGAGAGTGCGGGGTCATTTTACGAACCACCTGAGCTTACTCCTAGAGAAAGGAGCTTCAAGCCGTAGTGTTTCTGCATATAAATACTTGGATTTTTGCCCCACGGAGATGAAAGATATGTGGTTGGTGAACATCCGCGGTCCGATGCTATACTTCATGATGGATTGCAATTGTCAGAGCTTCCCGAAGTTCTCAAGACACAGGTGGAGTATATCTCGAAGAGATTACATGACTTCCTGGATCACATTCGTCTCCTGGAAGTGTGGTGACGACATCTCGTTTAGGCAACATGTAGACACTCTTGACCACCGCTCACACTTGCCTTTTACACCACCCTCTCTATGTACCAGCCACGACTCTTCATCACTAAAGATGTCTCTTCGCATTCGCTCTCTCTTCGATCGAAGAGGTGTGGCAGAGAAAAAGGCAGCCCATGCAAAGGCTGTCGAAGTGATGGACGAAATCTACGATCTCATCGAGGAACACTGCAGTTTTGGCACTCACATCGACACTGAGCTTTTAATGACACTGAAGACAGACTGCAGAGATCTGGATCTGGCTAACCACGGCACCTATCCAGACCCCTTTCTTCCTGTCTTCTTCGAACCACTGCCTCCCGAACAGCTCCCTCCCGTGGACCTCCGTGATGCTGAGACTAAGAAGAAATACGAATTTACCAAAAAAGTACTGTCAGGGCCCTCACACTATGAGAGAACTGCTCATGATAGCGCACACTCGCTGTCCTCGAACATAATGTCGACATTTTCAACACTCCCTCGTGAAGTCCCGGGAGAAAGATCTCTTAGCTTGAAGCGATTGAGCGGCTGGCTCGGGACGTAAGTGGTGAAAGACCCCGCCATTTCATTACCTTTGGCATTCTGTTAACCAGTATGTAAAATTGATAGCGATTTCTCTCCTTCCATTATCGATGACGAGTTTGATAACTTTGTCTTCGAATCACTGGAATGGAATCCCGGCAACGCATTTACGACTCTAACGAGCTGTTCTACTACTCATGTCATGTTTAGTTTGATTTTGGGATACGAACCTGACGAGAGACTTCTGCGAGCAGAGCTTACATCGATCGCGGCAGCGATCATCACACGGCTCGCAGACCCTGAGTACGAGGATCACAGCGTTATCCCTGTAAGTTGTGACCTGACGTTCCCGTCCATTCGGAGGTCTTTTCTTTTCCGTTTGCCGCGTTGGTACTAACAAGTGATCTCTTCCAAAGGTAATGGTTATTTCTTTGCTCGGAAGAAGGAAGGTGCGGATCCTACAAGCACACAACAATCGTGGAGGAATTGTTATTCGAAAGAGTGGCTTTATCAGATTCAACTCCCCTGAAGAAGCGACGGACAACATGGATCTTCTTATGCGATTCATGGCGAGTAATAGAGTTGGCGACACTGTTGATCCAAAGAACTTCTTCGGCGTGAGTCAATATGTCCCTAGCAACCATCCTACCAATAGCCGTGAAGGTGTTAACAGGAAAAACAGCCCGAGACCCCACCGACCATTCCGGGGCACAGCGCCGCTGGGTCATCGCAAGAGGAGCTTCCCGAGGAGATCCCAGAGACCATGTCACGTCTCAGTCTGACAATAGCCAGGCAAGGCAGCGTTCGGGTGAAGAACTTTCTGAGGTCGATTCGCAGCCGTCCACGTGTAATCTCTGGGGGCCGTGATATATTTCAACCTGGAAAGCCTGAGAGCCCTCCCAGAGATCCCTCCTTGCCTTTCGAATCGGATCCCGAAAGGCGTCTGTTCACTCGGTCGGACGAGCAGGAAGTACAAGTACCAAGCACCTCCGCTCCAAAGCAGGAGGGGGGTCACCCTATCACTAGATCCGACGAGCATGAGTTACACAGAGCGCCTGTTTCGAGGGACCTCGACCCACAGACACCAGAGGAGCTGAGTTATGTCCCGTTCCTATGATGCTAGCGCCAGTTGAAGAATCCGATAGGCTCGCCAGTCGCGTCAACCAATTCTAAAGTTCAAGTTTCCAGAGAAATGGCCTCGAGGGCTAGTGGCTTTTTTATTTGCTTTTTATTTGCTTCGTTATACCTTTGAATTTGATTGGAAAATTACTTTCACCACGTTGGACAATACTTCGGGAGTGTCTGTTATCTCAATGGCTTTCTTCGTGGTGTAAAGGGAATTCAAACTTGCTGTCAAGCTGAGTCTGTGTAGCTCGAAAGTTTTATGTATTAAGCAAGATTCAGATGAAATTGCGACGTCAAGGATAGAATTTGTAGTATTTTGGCACCCAGTGTTGAATATCACTACCCCAGAACTCTTTTAAGCGCCCACGTCTAGGGTCAAAAGTCCCATCTCAACTTTTCGTTTCCATCCCAGGTCTCTGGCAATGTAGACTACAACAAATCGATTAATCTATGTGCCGAATGTGATTTCATCTAAGCAATAAGTTTCATTTACGTGCCGCATTGGTTTCTATTCCTTCTGCTTGGTCTCACCAGAACCAGTCATTCTTTAAACATGCACATCAAGCGACGCCACTCGTTCATCGTGTCAGTCACTGCTCTCAACCTCATCTGTCTGTACTTTTTTTTTTTTTTGTCAAGGGTCTCTTGGCCGGTTTCGACAGAAGTCAAAGGCCAAGCGACTTCTCACGAGGAAGTCGCTCCATCTTCAAACGGCAATAATGTCTCCGATAAAAACAGACAAAAAGCACCTGTCGCAGAGCCTACCTTCTTATGGACGCGTGGTCCGACTCAATATCCAGTCCTGTCAATTACACCGCTGCCCACAGAAAGGCCTCGGAAATTGCCGAAAGTGCAGGCAGACTTTCCTACAGAGACGGATCCTCAAAAGGCGCAAGTTCGCAGTCAACGGCCAAAAGGCAGTAAAAGACGCCTTCATCCGATGCTGGGCCGCTAACAAGACTCGCGCCTAGATGGCTGATGGGGTTATGCCGCTATTGGGGCGACGCGCAACTAGGCGCATCCCTTGAAGAGGATGAAATAAACTATGTTTTGGTTATGTTTCTCTGTTCACGTTGAGCGTGATGCCTGTACATATTATACTACTCGGTGAAGTAAGGTGATTGCATTCCAGTCGTACACAAACAAAAAGACGAGACCCAGTTAGAGATTCTGGCCTACTTTCCCTCAGAACTCTCTATTCTGCAGTTCATTTCCAAGCCCGGCATCCTATATACCATCTCCCCAAGTCGTCATATAGACCTACCACCCACAGAGGGCTGCTATAGTCACGTGGTCTTCATGAGCGCATGCAGCGAGTCCCAAACAACGCAACAAGGCCGCTCTCCGCTCAAATTCAACTTCAGACCTAGCATTTGACGAAGATCCTACAGCCCTGCAAGGAAGTGTCCTCATTATTATCATACACTCTGAGAGACTTTACCCACGTCACAGCCAGAAGCCGCTCAGGGGGCCGCTCCTCATCCGGTAAGGCGGCCAAGCAAATAAAACATGGGTCCGAGTACTTCGTATATTAAGTTCTTGTGATCATCACCGCCGCTATTAGCGATCTGCGAACTCAACTTTAAATAACTCAAATAGATTGCGTATATCAACTCATTAGACTGATATTCATAATTATCCTGTCTTCTCCCTTGCTTGGGTGGCATTGTTGTTCCCTACGCCCTAGCTGGATGTAAGGTACGCTGGCTGTACATACTCCGTATGCTTTGCAGGGTAGTGTATGCGTCGGCACCTACAATTTTACGTGTTCGAGGAGCGTGTCACTAATTGATAAATACTGTCTAGAGATTATTCTCCTAAGATTCATTAGCTTTCGCATATTCCCATATTATAGAAATATAGACATCGTATTTGGAATTCATTATGTGGGTAAAATGCTTGGATGCAGTAGAGCGATGTCTAGAACAATGCAAAGCCCAACGCCGCTCCAGCCATCAAATGCATCACAGAGACCACGACACATTTACATCGTTTTAGAAAATGAATGAGTACACAAAGATCAGAATCGTAGCAGCCGTTGCCACTGTATACTCCAGCTCGAACCAGGCCGCCTGACCACCGAACGCAATCTTCTTGCTCCGGTGAGTCGGATGCGCAACTCCCGTCTTGGGGTCTCGGATCAACAGGTCCTCACGGTCGGGCATCACCGGTGGGTCGACGGCGTAAGCGACAGGAGTCCAGAGGGAAGTGCAGATGAAAAGGAATGTCAGCGGGGGCCAGAAGGCGTGGGTGATCAAGCAGAGAATGACATCTCGGAAGCTCTTCTCCTGCGCGAAGCAGCGATACGAGGAGATGACGACCGCGACGAGTGTGACATACACAAAGGCAAGGTGAAAGAAGGCCATGTAGTTGAGCAGAATCACGCGCAGGCGAACGAACATGTTCTTCCTCCGGTTCCGATCACGCTCTTCGAGTGCCGAGCTGAGTGAGCCGGTCGGCTTGAAGGCCTGTGTCTGGCCACCAAGCCATCTAGGGAGGATGAATGAGCGGACAATACAAAGGGCAATGTAGGGTGCCATCCAGAGCTGGTAGCGCGAGCCCCTCTGTCCGGTGTGGTAGCCAGCGGGGATGAAGAGGGCGAACTCGCAGATTCGGTTGGAAATGGTCGAGGCGAAGCAGGCCCAGATGAGCCAACGAAGTTGCTCCTGAGTCGCATAGGCAACAAGCTGCTTGCCCCACAGGAGAATAACGGGGATGGCGAAAATCGAGGCCGTGAGAAGGAGGGTGTACAAGCTCAGTGTTGCGTAGAGAAATCCCGAAAAGCGCTGGGCAGCTGTCATCTGCCGGACGCTGTCACCCCACAGACAAAATTTGAGCTTCACTGCGGTGTCGACGGTTCCGATCGCCCATCGCGTACGCTGCTTGAGATGTCCGCCAAAGTCTTCCGGCACGGTACCAAACTGAAGAGGTTCATGGATGTACGCGGTCTTCCATCCCTTCCCAAGCATCAGTGTGGAGGTTGCGACGTCTTCGGCCAACGAGCCGAGAGGGAAGTTGCCGATCTCGTCCAGGGCCTCGCGTCGAACGACGTAACCGGAACCAGTGCACCAAGCGACACCCATCGCATCCTTGATTGGCTCAATCACATGCACGAAGAAATCCAGACTCTGTGCGAGAGGGTCAGACGGAGGGGTGTTGTAGAAGAGCTGCGGCGGGCATGCAAGGGCCATCTTGGGATCGACAAGGAGATGAGGAAGGACAGCACGCAGCCAATCTTGCTCGGGGATCTATGAAGCTAGTTAGGAGACGGCCTGAGTCAAGATGAAACGCCAGTGGAAATTACCATATCAGCATCCAGCGCCGCCATGAATTGGCCGGCGCCTCCAGGCAAATGATGCACCTGCTCAAGGCCATAATTGAGGTTGCCCGCCTTGAAGTGGTGTGGTTTGCCAGGAATCTTCTCTCGCGCCATGTAGATGAGATTGGGGTGAGTAATGGCGAGCTGGCGGACGGAAGCCTCCAGGGTGGCCGACTTGCCGTCATCGAGGACAATGACCCTGAACCTGTCGCGGGGGTAGTCTTGATCGCACGCTCCACGGACGGTATCCAGCACAACCTCGTCCTGTTCTCCGCAACAGGTGACGAAAACATCCACGGTAGGAACATCATTTCCGGTCAGTCGCAGCTTGGGTCGGCCTCTTTTCTTCAGTGCCATCATAGTCCAGCCGTTGTGCATCAAGGAGGGGATCGCAACAGTGATCTCGATAGCTACGAAAACCCATGCTCCGGCGTAAGTGTATCCAGCTGCTTTTTGAGCCAGAATAATACAGGCGATGCGCAGCCCAAGGTAGAAGAGGTAGAGACCAGTGTTAGCCAGCGTGAGGAAGGGAACAAGGCTAAAGACCCATCGCTTCCATCCTCTCCAGATGTCGGCATCATCACGCTTGTGAAGGCGAGCGATCGACCCGGACTGGACCCAATCTTTTGCATATAACGGTGACGCGGGGGCATCGACGAGAGGAGCGAGACTCTGATGGCTTTGAAGCAGCTGATTGTTTTGATACTGGTGACCGAGATATTTGTTAGTTTGGTGATGCATAAAGAGAAGCAAAGGTAGGAAGGAGAGGGAATGTAATTACCGGAGATGGTGATGCTGAACGAGAGTCAAACGATTCTGGACAGAGAGACGACCGAGCCGTTGCGAAATGATATCCGGGAGACGCATAGTCCTCCAGAGGAATCTCACCGGCACGAATAGGCGTCTGAGCTCCCGGTGGAAGCTGATCTAGCGAGTCGAAACTGCTGTGATTTTGGTGGCCTCGACGGTGGACTTGAAGCCCGAACTTCTCTTCTTGATCTTCCTGGCCATAGCGCCCGCTCATTTTGACCTTGGGTGCGGCAAAATAGGTGACAATAAGCTGCGTAACAGTCGGATCGGAATGTGTCGAAGTGTTCGAAGTATGAAGGGGAAAAGCGAGATATTCTGATTGGAATTTAAAGAACTACTCCCAGGTAATTAAACGAGTGTGATAAGCTCAGAGAGCTCTGGAATACCAAGGGAAGTAGGATTAGAGGTGGATGGACAGATTCAACGAGAGACGAGGCAGGAAGATGGGCGAGGGCGAGAGGCGCCTGTTCCTTGTCCGGCGTCTTCCGTAGGTACTTATTTCTTATCACTATGCAGTCCTACGGCGGAGATCCTCTCTGCTGTGTTGTGAATTTTTTTTTTTTCTATTATTTAACAGTAGTCCAGTACTAACCAAGGCCAAGGTAACCAGAGCATGCGACCTACCGCAAAGATCTGCCCACAGTAATTTAGTGCTCATTTAACAGTTGCCTTGGCTTATTTTAATTACTTCTTATGAATGGCTGAGGCCCTGAAACTAGTGTGATCTGGATGCAGCGATAAGAGTGGTGGTGGGGCCACACCGTTTGCGCACTAGCCTGTGATAAGCTAATATAAATAGATCCCACTTAGAAGGGTTTTCCGCTTGCGTCATCCTTCTTGTTCTGCCAGTTACGGATTCGATACAGGTAAGGCACGTTATTCGAAACTCTTCCATGGTCGACTCCCTCAACATTACCAACAAAGTATCAGCTAGAATATAACTAAAGAGGAAATTTCCCCTGCCAACCTTGCCGGAAATGCTTCTCGGAGACACCCAGGCCAATACATTTCCAGTATTCTCGAAGGATCCTTGGTTGCACTGCCCTCTTACCTAATATCTTAAATTTCAAGGATCTGTACCTCATTACAGCCACTAGACCAGTTTCACAGCCAATCAGCTCCACTTTATCAGGGACCCTCCCGGTCGTTGCATATGATTAGTCTGTTTTAGTCCCTGATCTTCCACTCAATAAATCACACTATGAAAACAAATCAATTTCTTTTCCTGTAAGTTACGCCTTCCTTACATCTACAGATACCCAAGGCAAATGTTTGCTGATAACCGCCCTCTCCCCACTGGACCAAAGCACCCTATGAGCCACTGACCGTATCCGCTTCCACTACATCTCACCTTCCATGACCTTCCCTCTTCTACATCTCTGAATTCACAGAGTCTGCACATCAAACCTATCATGGTGCTTCGATGGGTTGTTAATGCCGGCCTTTTGGCCATCCCCATCGGAGGCACTGTAGGTGCTCTGATGGGAATCGATGCGCACCGACATGCGACAGGACAAGCGCCTCTTTTCAGCGGCGGCGGCGGCGGTTCATCGGGCTCCGGTTCTGGTGGCAGCGGTAGCCCTACTCATAATGGATTGGAAAACATAGTGCACTGCCATGAATCATACGGAATCAAACCCGAGACAAAAGGACAAAGCTTCACATGTAGGTTGCTGAGAGTTCTTATCGGGTTTCGAATGGCTGATCGTTACCGCAGTAAATCCCAATCCATGGGGTGTGGCCCCCGATACAATCGCACCGATATGCATGAACGTGAGTGTTGAGTCTCGTTATTTTACCAGCTTGCTGGCAAGTTTGTTAATGAGTGTCGAAAGGTCACAACCTTCGAAAACGGGACATACGCAACCAAGAACACAGCACCAGAGTTCTCTGTCACATGGCAATTCGACCCCGGTCCGTCGACCCAACCGGTCCACGCCTTCCCGAACGTGATGATTGACGATGGCTTGCCCGTCTCCCTTGAGAAAATCCAGCATTTGAATGTCGATTTCCACTGGACGTACGGAGTAGGCAACACACCCGCTGCGGCGACCGACGAGGCGGAACTGACTAGCGCGTCTGTCAATACGAACGTCGCTATCGATATGTTCATGGGTCCCAACGCAAAGGCAAAGGAGAGTACCGATTACACACATGAAGTGATGGTCTGGTTTGGGAAGTTCGGGCCCGCCGCGTACGTCATAGGACAAGATGCTGGCGTAGTTGCGACCAAAGTATTAAATGGAACTATCTTGTGAGTAAATTATCCAATGACCGTTGGGTGCCTTTTCTCTGACACGCTTTTGTTTGCAGCAACCTATATTCAGGCCAGAACGGCAAGAACCAGTGGGTTTTAACGTGGCTTACGAGCGACTCTCCGAACGATGCTCACGCGAAAGGGAAGACTACGGAAACGTTCACCGGTGATCTCTTGCCTCTGATCACCGAGCTATATACCATGACTGGGGAGGCTTACCCGTCAAAATCCGACTACATGGGGATCTTCCAGTTCGGTTCCGAGGCCTTCTCATCAAGTACGAATGTCACATTTTGGGTACCCGAATTCTCGGTAGATATGCAATGAAGAGGACGAGAGAGGTATATATATATTTTTTGTTCATTAGCATTTGGGAGTTTTGAGGCAATCGGATCGAACATAGATAATGAAGCATTGGCATATCATATCATCAGTACAGAGGAGGACGGCACATGTAATGATCGCGCTGAGCTGCGTATACTGTTTACAAACATATGGATTATGTAAATTATTGGAAGCATTGCGTATGATACGCAGAATCGCCATTACTGGGACTCTGGACTCTTGATGTTCGCATCCGCGATTTTTCCGCAAGCATAGTTGAGTCGATGTCAAAGGTGGATCTGTTTGGTTGGAGGTACCCACAATTTACACAGTGTGTGGATTGCTGATGACCAGGCGGCAGAAACGAAAACGCACTGGCATCCACCACATGTAGTCCAGACACTCCATATATCCACGCCTGCGGAGCGACAACAACCATCTCATCCACCGCAGTGCCCGTCTTGTTCGGGCAAGAGGCACGCAACAAAGCCATAACCCTATGCTGGATGAACCCGGAATCTCCTCGTCAGTCTGGACCTCGACACCAGGATAGTACTCCTCCCCGATTATCACAGGAGCTGGGGTGACTTCAATGAGCCTGCTGAGAGGGTCACTTCGTTCTTTGCAGACAGCGCAAAGATGGTATCGAGGGTTCCTCGTAGTTGAACGCCGGCGGCCGTTTTGGGCCGCTGGAAACAAGCTTCTTCGCTAGCGTATTTGTGTACATAGTCAATATGGAAGGATCGATGACCAGGAATGACGCTTGGGAACTGCTGCAGGGTTGATTTTAGAGTTGATGGAGGATATGCAGTATTGCGGTCCCTACCCCATCAGCGACCCGGAGATTGAAGTCCGTGGTCTCGTTGGTCCCTATCGCTTCCGTTCCTCGCTCCATCCACGGGGAAATGACACGGCAATGTTGGCGTAGGATACCGGCAGTTGCCCGCTGGTTGAATCGTACGCAGCAGCGTCGTAGGCAGCTGAAGCTTAGCGGCTTGTGGTTCAATATCCGAGGTGTGAATTGGACTTTGTCCTTGAGGTACAGATGTACTTCCTCGAATGCGTAATGGTAATTGCTATTATTGATGGCAGTTGCCCATTATTCGTGGATTTGCGCATTGGTCTGCGAATCAGTTGGTTGTGTCACTGGGACTGTTCGAGCCACTAAATGGGCAAACACGGTTGATGGATCATAAATTCAGCGCCAACCTGCAGATATGCTGCGTCAGTTCCGTCAACATTAGCCAAGTGCCTAGCTGACTTACGAGCCCCAAGTCATTCCCCCCTGACATAATGAATATATAGTTCATTGACCCTTGGCTGATTTTATGCAACAAAGCTCCGTTCGATTGCGGAGGACGTGTCGAATCGGACGCGACTGGCAGCACATCTGCTGCAACAATCGCACCAAGAGACTCCAGCTCATACGCCCCTCGACCAGAAAACCTTGGAGCGGGCTGCGCCGGTCTGCTGGCCGCGACACTGCCGCCCGTATCACCGCCGACTACGCATAATCAGACTCCTTATCTCCGCTGAACAAAGCTCTAGGGCTTGTTGGTGATGCTTTTTGGTGCTGCAGTAGATAATCTGTAGTGCGCAGGCTATTTAAGCCCTGAGGCCAATGGCCAGCAGCGCCAAAGTAACAAGAGCTGATCGATATGGCGTCTAGATTTGTTCAATTGATTATACCTTACGCATGCAAGGGGGAAAACGCACGGTGCTCTTCGTGCTACCAAACCTGTCAGAGTGTACGCGGCCGGGTAGGTGATCACAGGCAAGCAAGGATGATGCTTGAGAGCCGAGACCGCACTAATTTGTAGGATGTGCAGGCCTGAGCCAAGTTGTTAGATGCCTCTATCCGCTCCATGCTTCTAGCCCACGTTTTTGGACATTCTCAGACATTTTGTGGAGCAAGTACGCCCTTATCAGAAATGTTTCAGTAAGTGTTCGAGATAAAATAATGGAAGTCTCGCCATGCCGCCATTTAAATTCGGCTGTCGACGGATGCCCCATTGTCTCAAGTCTGTATTCGATTTTCCATTCATGGCCAGTCACGGTTGCGTGTTTGGACGACCCAATAACGGGTATCCGCAGAACCCACACTAGGGCTGTTTCAAGGAGAGACCGGACCGAGGGCTATCGAAATTTAATCTATAAAATTCGAGCATCCTCTAGTATCGAGAAAATCATCATTGATTCGCCTCTCTATAGTCGGCACTGAATAGAGCGGAGTTAAGAACTGTAGTATCAAAGCTTGTGATTGGTTGGTTAACCCCGCATCACGTGCTACACGGTGTCCACTGAAATTGACGCTACTTCGAATCTCAGTGAGCTCACTTTCTTTTTTCTCTCTTGCCCTTTTGCTACAATCCACGCATCGAGATGTGACAAAAAAGCCTTCTGCAACTGTGTCTGGGCTTAGGATTTCGCTTAATCATTCCGCCGCGCACAGTACATTATCCCGGACCACTTCGTCTCTGTCTGGAGAGGATGAAAACCGATCAAAACAACCCCCCCAATGAACGTGGACATCATGAGTGTGGTTGAGCGTTGTGTCAAAGCGTCAAACCAGCCAAAGAGTATGGTAGCTTCGATAAATTGTGTCCTGAACCAGACTTCCTTTATTGTTTTGAACCGAGAGCTCAAGGCAGAGGGTGTCAGGGCGCATTCCAAGTGTCAGCCTGATGCTGTCGAAAAGTGTCCGATCTGCACCAAACTGGAAGAAAATCTTGTTTGTCCTGCACAACATTGATAGGAACATCTTAATCAGACTCTGATATCATTAATTGACTTCCGCAAGATGACGCGTTATCCGCCTCGACCTAGCCTAAGACGGAGAAATGTCCATCAGCTCCCTTCGCTTATCAATCTATGGTGGAATATCTCCTCCTTAGCACATCGACTAAGGCCATCACCACTGTTGATCCGGTAAGGCTTGTTTTGATTTAATATAATCTGGGCGCTCTGCAGATGTTTCTTTGGTCGAATCACAGCCAGATAAACATGAGCATGCTCAGCGAGTTGATGCTTGTTTCTACTGCGATCCCGGCACCGATCTTTAAACCGGTCAATCACTGCGGAATACGGTAGAACGTGCCATTCAGGCGCTATGTTGTACGAAACTGACGATAATCAGTTTAGACTATAGCAGCTGCTGAAGCGCGATGTATGGTGCGGTTGCCGTATATAAGCCCCCGTAAGGTCCGTCTCTTCGAATATCCAGGCCCGTGAACCCAAGGTCAAGATGAAGGTCGCTGGATTCCTTTGGCTCAGCCTTCTCAGCTCCTCCCTTGCAACTGGCAGAATCCATGGAATAGTGGAAAGAAGCACAGTGAGCGAGATATTGAGCGAGATATTGACCGATATCGAAAATGCTACGACCTGCGCTGCCTGTGAGGTAAGTACGACAACGAAAGCTTATGTACCCGTCGCTGACCCGTACAGTCGTTGTTGGTTGTCCTACAAACTCTAGCCCATCTTGGCAATGATGACTTTGTGGATGTGATAACCCAAGTCTGTATTCTGGCTGGGGTAAGCAATCTTTTCTGGGAAAATGAGCCAATATTTATCACGAGCAGGCAGAAGACTCGGACGTTTGCGAGGGTGCCATCGCTCGCGAAGGCCCTATATTGGCGCATGATCTTCGCAATATGAATATACCCTCGACTACCGCCGTTCTCTTTTGCACCACAATCTTTGGCCTCTGTGATTTTCAGGCTGTCACAAAGTATACGCTTGACTATCCTTCGGCCAAACCGACAAACGCATCTCGCCCATCGCCCAGCGGGGAAACACCTATTCAGGTCGTGCACATCAGTGATATCCATGTTGACCTATCTTATGAAACTGGCGCCAGGTAACCCTACCGCACCCCGCAGGATACTTTCAATTACTCATATTACTAGTTATAACTGCACGAAAAACATCTGCTGCCGTCCTTACACAACATCTGACGCACCCGGCAATACTAGCTATCCTGCGGGGAAGTTTGGCGATCACAGCTGCGACACTCCGCTTAGTCTGGAGGAGAGCATGTATGCGGCTATACAGCAGCTGGTCCCCAACGCAGCATTCACCATCTTCACAGGTGATGTTGTAGAAGGCGCGGTGTGGCTGGTCAATGAGATCGAAGTTACCAACGACCTCAACGATGCCTACAACGCCCGGATGCCATCATACCTCAGTCTCGTTTACGGAGTGGTTGGTAATCATGACGCAGCGCCTGTCAATTCCTTTCCTGCAGCTGACATCGACACAACAATTTCAAGCCAATGGGCGTACGATACTCTTGCGTCCGACTGGAAGCAGTGGATAGGGTCAACGGCTGCCACCACGGCCAAAGACTACGGCGCGTATTCCGTGAAGTACCCGGCTGGAAATCTGCGCATAATCTCCTTCAACACAAATCTGTACTACAAGGAGAACTTCTGGCTGTACGAAAAGACCATGGAGACCGATCCAAGCGGACAGCTTGCCTGGCTCATCGGTGAGCTCGATGCTGCGGAGACCGCCGGCGAGCGAGTCTGGCTGCTCGGCCACATGCCCATGGGTTCCGGTGATGCCTTTCACGATGCATCCAACTACTTCAATCAGATTGTCCAGCGGTATGACGCGACCATCGCCGCTTTGTTCTACGGTCACACTCACAAAGACGAGTTCGAGATTGTCTATTCCAACTACACAGACCAGAGTGCGCAGACTGCGACGATGATGTCGTATATTGCTCCCGCGCTGACTCCGACATCCGGGAACCCGACCTTTCGCGTCTACTCGGTCGACCCGGTCACCTTTGGCGTGTTGGATTACACCGTGTACATTGCCAATATGTCCAGTTCAACGTACCAGAGCAAGCCTACCTGGCAGAAATACTACTCCATCAAGGAGGCATACGGCTCTCTTCTGAGTCCCCCAGTCACCGACAGCGCGAGCGAGCTGACTCCTGCTTTCTGGCATAACGTCACTGCATTGTTCGAGAGCGATGACAGCGTGTTCCAAGATTATATCGCCCGTAAGAGCAGGGGGTGGGATGTCTCCAGCTGCACTGGCGATTGCAAGACATCGGAGATTTGCCAGCTGCGAGCGGCCGAGGCGCATACAATTGCGTTGAAATCACCCCCGGTATCCATTTCAAGCGCAGAAAACGAGACGATACGAGCAGCGGCACAAAGATGGAGAGTGCATGTGGCGGGTCGGTTTTTGGGGCTGTGTTTGCCAACTTCAAGGAGAGCGTAACGGTATTCAAGACTGCTGCGGGGGGGAAGCTGGGATCGAGCTTTTTGAACACTACAGTCAATTCAACGGCTGTTTAGTTACATTGAGTACAAGAGGGGGCCTCAGCTATGATTTAAATATCATCTTATCTGGACATATCTGTATCGTAGGTGAAAATTGGGGGTTCGAGATTGGAGTTTTTCCCTACCGCGTAAACGCTTCCTCAACTGCCTCTAAGAGCAGCGAGATAAACTCCTTCCAGCCAACTCTGATAAATAACGACAATCCCAAACGCTCGCCAATTAGCCGCTTCTGGGCCTTGTAGCAGAAAATGCGCATCATCTTGCTATGAAGCTGAACCAATGAATGAGAAGAGGAGAGTGGTCACATGCAGATGTGAGATGGTAGCTTGAAAATTTCCATAACTCTATGGCTCCTCTACTCGTATCATCAAAGGGTAGGTTACTCTAGTAAGGATCGAAGCTGACCAGAGAATACGTACATGGGCAATGAGGCAGGTTGCAGCTCATCTTGGGCAGGGCGGGTTCCACGTGATCCTCAAACAGGAGTATGCCTAAGGCAGAAATCACCTGCCCACCCGCGACATCATGTGACTGACATCACTGTCTAGAGGTTCAGCAAGCCATACAGAAACTCTACTTGATAGCCAACTTTCATCAGTAATTGAGAACAAGAAGGTTGGTTCCTCGTCGTTTAAGGCTATACCATGCTTTGCTACTGCGGCTGCTGATTAGTTATCATTGCAGTGCTAATACCTTGTAATGCACATTCCATTATTATAACCACATCAGTCTCCAGGTTTCCCCTTGAGATGGGTCGAATACATAGCTTAATCAGGAGGCACCGTCCGCGAATGCGATTCCTTACCCTCCACTATGCTTATTTTATAGGCACCTGTCTGATAAGCTCCTTCATTCTCTGGGGCGCCGCGCAGCCCTTCGGTAGTCTCCGTTATATTGATGCCCTGTATCTCGCCGTCAGTGCTATGACGCTGGCAGGCCTCAACACAGTGAATCTGTCCACCCTGAGCACCTTTCAGCAACTCTGGCTATTTTTCTTAATTATACTCGGCTCCGCGGTAAGCTCAAGAACTTACTCCTTACTACACCAGCCAGTGCGAGAGTGTCAGCCAACCCCTGTTGTAGATCTGGGTGTCCATCGCCGTACTCTTGACGCGCAGGCGCGCATTCGAACAGCGGTTCGGTGATATCATCCGAGAGCAACGCCTGCAGAGAAAGGGTACGCGCGAGTCCCTGCAAGCAGGCCCCAGCTTTTCTCTGTCGCGGTCGTTCCGTCGACGAGGGACTACCTCGGACCGTCTAAATCTGCAATCTGTACCAGCTGGTACCACCCAGGCACCTGACCGCAATGTTGTGTCCCGTCAACCTTCCAGCTACTCACCCAGACAGCAAGGTGGTGGAGTTGCTGATCTGCCTGTAGAGACAGCTGCTGGAGTCGAACAACGGCAACCGTCTAGAGAGAGCGCGGAGGAGAAACCTACCCTCTTGAATCGGAAGCCTTCAGTCAACTCTCCCCCTGCTTCTGCGAACCCCAATAATTGCGAGGAGGAGCAATCTACTCACTTGGATCGGAAGACTTCAGTCAACTCCATTCCTAGCTCTGCGAATGTCAATAATCGCGAGGAGTACTCCCACCTTGCCTTCGCGTCTGATGTGCAACGTCCTCGCGAACAGTCATCAAGTAGGTATCCCCGACCGCATCTTCTCCCGCCCTATACAAACTACAGACAGCCGTCCGTGTTGTCAGATCGTGGGCCCTGGCGCGGAGAGGAACCAGGCTCGTCCGGTCATGAAACTTTGGCGTTCCTACGCCATGTTGGACGAAATTCTACCTTTCCTATGCTGACCGAGGAGGAACGCGACAAACTCGGCGGTGTGGAATACCGAGCCGTGTGCCTGCTGACCATCATTGTGCCCATTTACTTTGTGGCCTGGCAGATTCTTGGAGGGCTGGCAGTGGGGGCTTATGTGGCCCATAACAAAAGCACGGTGACGGAGACGAATGGCCTAGCTCCATGGTGAATACCCCAAATCATCTCTGTGCCTTTTTCCCCTTAAGGATTATATTCCCCTGCTTCTTTTTCTGTTCCGAGCTTGAATTGATTGCTGTCTTCAGGTGGGCCGGTTTCTTTTTTGCGATTTCCGCGTTCAACAACTCCGGCATGAGTCTTGTGGACGCCAACATGGTGAGACCAGGATAGTCCATCCGGATCATCATTACACTGACCTCAGTCGGCAGGTGCCTTTTCGATCATCAACGTTCATGCTCATCACCATGGGGCTATTGATCCTGGCGGGTAATACCTGGTACAGTCACTCCTCGGAATTTCAAACCCCATCGCGATCCCATACTCATGAGGACTTCCAGCTACCCGATATTTCTACGATGGATCCTGTACGCGATGCTCCGCCTCCTGCCCAAGCATCCCTACTTTCAAGAGTCCCATGACACTCTGCGTTTCCTTTTGGATCATCCCCGTCGATGCTACACCAGTCTCTTTCCTTCACCACATACCTGGTGGTTGCTCCTCTCCGTGGTGCTACTCAACGGGATTGACTGGGTGGCGTTCGAAGTTCTAAATGTAAGTTCTGAGTACCCACACCAAGAGCAAAGAATCGTACTAAAACCAGAGAGGTTGATAATCCCGCGGTCAACACGATTCCGCTCGGCTCCCGAGTCCTCGACGGACTTTTCCAGGCCCTCTGTGTGCGTAACGGCGGGTTCTATCTCGTCAGCATTTCTGCCCTTCAGCTGGGTATGCAGGTCATATATGTGATTATGATGTACATTTCCGTGTATCCAGTGGTGATCACCATGCGCAACTCCAACGTTTACGAGGAGCGCAGCCTGGGGATCTACGCCGACGATCTGCCATCAGCGTCGCAGGAGCCCGACAGCCAGGAGAAAAACCTACACGGGAAGACGCCCTCCGGTCGGCGTTACTTTATTCAACACCAGCTGCGGGCGCAACTGGCCTATGACCTCTGGTGGATTGCCCTGGCCGTCATCATTATCTGTATCGTGGAGGCGGGTAGTTTTACCCGCGACCCGGTGACATATTCCGCCTTCAACATTATCTTCGAGACCGTCAGTGCATACGGCACCGTCGGAATCAGCACGGGCCTGCCTGATCAAATGTATAGTTTTTCCGGGGGCTGGCATACCCTGAGCAAGCTGGTCCTCTGCGCGGTGATGCTGCGTGGCCGGCACCGTGGATTGCCCGTCGCGATCGACAAAGCTATTATGTTACCTGGGGAGCACCTCATCCAGGCTGAACAGGAAGACGCGCACATCCGCTTGGAAAGGACGATGAGTCGAACTCGAAGTCGGGCCATGGCGTAATCTCCCAAATTTTTTACTGTCACCTGCTTGTATTACTTATAGCCATATTTCCACAATAACCATAAACAGCATGTATACCATATAGTAGGGTTATCGAATGCCATCTAGTAGGGATATTGAATCAGTATATGCTATAGTGATTCAATATTAATACTATATAAATATTCAATATCTAGTCGTTGTAGAGATATAAGGGAATAATCATCTCTGTAAGAGGTTAGATGGTGTTGATATATGTATATATGTGTACACATTGGCCTTCGACAGCCACCATGGCTTAACTAATCACCACCAATTCAAGCCGCTAGATATTGAATCAATATTTTAGATATAGATTATATGACTATAATTACAATATAATTTATATAAGCATGCTGGATAGACCCTAGGCAGGTGGTGTGTGTGGCAGCAGTGTGATGGGAGGTAATCATGGTAAGAATTATTTTGGCCAGTTCATATAAATAGTCCGCCAAGGTTTTAGGGTACTGCAGATCACCCAATTGTGAGTCATTTTACGATTGCGTAGTCATCATTGGCGAGAATACGAAGTATGTTGGATCTACCCTGTACTTAATAAAGCTTCAGCCAATTTAAATTAATCGCATCCGAGACATTGGTTCTTATATAGCAAAGCAAACCCCACTGGACGAGTGGAGGCTGCCTGCGCAACAGACCGCTGTATTTCCACTCCCAATAGAAGTCCACGACCTGTTGGACTGTAGTTGCAGCCATCCTACCACAATGGCCAGCCTATCCGCCTTCCTGCGCTATCTGCGCCTCAAACTCCTAGTCTCCTTCTACCGGCTCATCGTGAAAATGTTTGCCTCGCCCCCGAGACCTCGTCCCGACTCCGTACTGAGAATTCCGTCACGCGATAACAAACACACTATCAAAGCCCATATTTACAAGCCCTCGGAGAAGTATGCAGGAAGCAGGGGACCGCACCCAGTCCTGGTCAACTTTTACGGCTCTGGCTTCGCAATTCCCCTCTATGGCGCGGACGACGGTTTTTGTCGGTTCATCGCCACGACCACCGGCTACGTCGTCCTGGACGTCGAGTATCGACTCGCACCGGAGCACCCGTTTCCCGCGGCTGTCCATGACGTCGAGGACGCGGTAAAATATGTGCTTGACCGGCCGGACGAGTACCAGACCTCGCAAGTCTCCGTGTCCGGGTTCTCATCAGGCGGCACCCTCGCGCTCGTGGCCCCGACACTGTTTCCTCCTGACACCTTCCAGTCCGTCATTGCGTTCTACCCGGCGACGGATCTTGCCAGGGACCCGAGCATGAGGAAGCCCCCAGTTCCGAATGCGAAGCCGCGCTCGGCGTTCTGGACTCGGACTTTTCGGGAGGCATACATAGGGAATATGGACCCGCAGGATCCGAGGATCTCGCCAGCGTATGCCGATACGTCCAAGTATCCTGCCAATATGCTCGTTGTAACAGCGGAGTTGGACTCGTCGGCGCTCGAAGCGGAGGATTTGGCGAAGGAAGCCGAGGCGGAAGGCGTAGCAAGCGGTAGAAATGTGGTTATTCGGAGGATGAAAGACTGCGGTCATGCATTTGACAAGAAGAACACGAATAAGAGTTGTGTCCAGGCTCGAGACGAGGCTTATGGACTTGCTGTGGACATGTTGAAGAAGGTCGCAGGTGAGAGCGGTTGACGGCGTCACAGTTCCATATTGCACTAGGATTTCCGTCCGCGCCAGGACTGAACATCCAACCCATTTGTGTATGTAGTAACACAGAATCAGGCTATAGTTTTGCCTATCAGTATTAACCGTTACGCTGTTCTTAGTGACAGGTGTCCATCTCGTATCTCAAGAAGATCGTTAGCGAGTAACTCACTCATTACCTGCGAAGTGGCCGCATAACGGCACACCTGATACCAGATTAGCTATTCCATCTTGTTTATCTTAGTTGTCCCAGGCCCGTGAGCACCAGCAATCTTTACTGACAGAAAGTATAGAACTCAACCTTGCCAACAACCTGAAGAAATGCAGCCCCCGGCTGAGAAGAGACTGCCAGGGAAGGTCTCCAGTCATTGCAGTAGCGTGGTACTGGCACGACTGGATTGCGACGAGCTATGACCAACTGCAGATTTGTGACAGTCAGTCATCTTATTGAATGGTTTGGTTCAGTGTAGTCGACAAAGGCTACTTCTGGCAAGCTGGGTGATAGTTCTACTGAGGGTGTCGTGGAGTAGCAGTGTTGCTGTACCTCTATAGTGTAAACAATTTTCATTTAGAAATACTGCTAGTGACAGACATTGAAGATGATGGATATTCATTAATGGATACGCTCTAGATGGTGAAGTGCCTCTGTCTTAGTATTCATTCACTTTACTTTCACCTTTGCTAATATTAGCCTAAGCACTTCCCTTTAGGGAATTATTAGAGCAGTGAATAAGTACAAACAACTATGTCGCCTAATTTTCCCTCACTTTATCTCGCGTCCTCTCACACACAAACTAGTATCAACACCAAAGACATCAATCTAGAATCTTACACCCGCTTTCCTAACTATCCTTGCGCATTCTATTGAAGACAGAACCTACCTTTATACCACCGAAACGCGAATTTCTCAAAATATCGAACTGCCTCACCTTGATGAGCAGAGTGGGATCTGCAGCCATGTCACTCCTTGACCTGCCCCTTGATGTGCTGTACGAGATAGCTTCTCACCTTTATGACTCGGATCTGAATGCCCTCGTCCGCACCTGCTCTCCTCTCTACACGGCCTTCAACTTCGAACTTTACCGACGGGACCCGAGACGAGGGCAAAGTCGAGCATTGTTCTGGGCCGTTCAGCATAATAAGATCGCTACACTATGGAAATCTCTCGAGGCTGGCGCATCAGCACCACTGGCAGCACTACTTTGCCTGGCCACTAAACACGACTCACTGCTTGCGATGAAGACCCTTTTTTTGCAGGGCGGTGCTGATATCAAGGCTGTGGAACAAACCGAGGGCATTCCACTTTTGGTGAAGGCTGTGATCAATCGCTCACCCAAAGTCGTACGGTTTCTCTTGACCAGAAACGGGGTGGATCCGAACGTCAAGAACGATGAAGGACAAACACCCCTTGCATATGCTGCCTATGAGTGCTTCAACGACATTGTTAAGATTCTGCTGAAGTGTCCCCATGTGGATGTCAATTGCCCGGACAATAGTGGCTGCACGCCACTCCGTCTAGCAGCGGGAAGGAGCCATGTGTACGTCGTCAGAACATTGCTCTCGAATCCCTCGGTCGATGTTAGTGTGAGGGATAATATTCATCACAGGACGGCTCTCTCAGCTGCAGTGATGGTTCTTTGGGGGCGGATCTCTTGGGGGCCCGAGAAGGTCAAACTGAAGCATCGGCGGACAATACAAGCACTCCTTGAGCACCCTGCGACATCAGTGAACTATGATACGGACCCAGATCTCCTGCAGCTGTATCGGTTCAGCGCTCAGTACGGATACGAAGAGATCTTCCAATTGCTATGGTCAAAAGGGGTGGGACAGCTCCCGAGAGAACTTGATCGCACTGGGATCTTATTCTTCGTAGCAGAACACGGCCAAGCAGCGATCATGAAGGTGTTGTTTGCGAAGGGTTTTGAGCCTGAAGCACGAACCGACACGGGCCGCACAACGCTCTCAATTGCCGCGGAACATAAGCAGATTGAGGTCATTCGACTGCTTCTCTCGACGGGCAAGGTTGACGTGAATTCCAAGGATCAAGACGGGCGAACGCCACTGTGGTGGGCTATGACACGTGGGTGGAGAAAAACCGGGACGGATGAGACTGTGAAGCTGCTAATCGCCCATGATGCTACGATCCCGACTATTCAAGGAAAAGTGAAGCTGCAAAAGTCACTGTGCAACGCTCTTGAGCATGGCAATTGTTTTCTATCAGAAATGCTCCTTGACCAAAGCCAGCCCATCGGCAGTGAGCAAGGACAAACGCTGCTCTCCGCAGTTGCAAAATCTAAAAACACTTCACTGGCGAAGACTGTACTAGAAAAGGCACAAATTGATCCTAACTATAGGGACTCGGAGGGTCTGACCGTACTGGACCGGGCAGTTGTTAATGGAGACATCGCCCTTGTTGATCTGCTATTAGTCCTCGATGGGATTGATCTGAACTCCAGAAACTCGAACGGCGACACTGCCCTAGCAATTGCGATGAAAGAGATCAGCGACTGTTTATCAAGGTCTCTCAGACTTCGGGACAGGCGGCCCTATGAAACTTGCATGGAGAAATTGCTCCGCCACAAAGATGTTACCACAGCATCACTGGACCAATATTGGCTCATCAACTTTATTATTGCTTACCTCGACGCTCTTCGAGATCAAACACTAATAAAACTTCTCATCCTCAAGGATGAGCGTCTTGTCTCTGATACCATAGTTTACGAAGGTGATGCAGAAACACTACTCGAGTGGGCTCAACAGAACCAACACAGGACCATTGTTCGAGCGCTCCGGGAAAAGGAAAGGCGAATGTGGGTGACGATCTGAAGTTGGTTAGGGATGCATGCTCAAGGTCTCCGTATCGCGTGTGTACCCTCGCTTGCTGCGACAGCTCCTAACATTTCCAACGCGGAGGAGATATCGAGGTATTTTAGAGTTCACAGGTGATGGCGTCCGTTTCGGAGGATGTCCAATCTATTTTATTCCTGGAGTCCTGGACATGAATGAATTGAATCGAAACATAGCAGCTCGGCCTCGGATTGGTGACAACTTGGAGAGGAAGTTCTTTTTGGATGTTCATCATGCGTCTAGTGTGTAAATAGCACCCTCGCAGTTGTCATCTCTCTAGTGTCAGAATGGATCACAAGATCGAGTCATATACAAATCGCTTTCGCCCTCTCCTACATCGAGTGAAATCTATAGTTGACTCATAGACTACTAAAGTAAGTGCATAATCATCCAAATCAAGTCAAACATGACACCGCGAGATTACAGAATTGGCACATTCTTAGCGCCACCGGTCGACGACGTGCTGACCGTCACATCCCTCCACGCCTCCATCTCCTCCTGAGTCTTCTTCATCTCAGCCCCCAATATCGGGAGCGTCTCCGGTCCTAGCAGCAACCTCCCGGGGAGTCTTCGCTCATCCTGCCCAACAAGGACATCAAAGAGCACCTTGGCGCAGGCATCCGCCTCCGAGAACGACGCCTGAGCCGCCGGATCCATCATATACGTCAAGAGCCGATTCAGCGGACCGTCGGGGGTATCATACGCGGGATGCCTGGGCAAAAACTTGCCATTGCTCCCGAAATTGGACTTGATGCCGCCCGGCGCAACAACCAAGAACCGAATCCGCCAGTCGGGGTTCATCTCCTTAGCAAAGGCCTCCGTGAACCCGCCCAGCGCAAATTTCCCGGCGTGGTAGAATGCACTCCCCGGGAACGCCATGTACCCTCCTATCGAGGAGATCTGTACAATTGTCCCGCCCGCTCCGGCCGGGTTGACCTCGCGGAAGATGCGGACAGCCTCCTGGGAGATGAGAGCAGGGCCCCAGAAGTTGGTGTCTAGTTGGAGGCGAGCGTCGGACTCGGGGATGACTTCGGTATCGCCCATGAGGACATAGCCGGCATTGTTGATGACTACGTCGAGGCGGCCGAATTTGGCCACGGTGGCGGACAGGGTTTCGTGGATGGCTGGTTTTGAGGTGACATCCAGAGCGAGCTTGAGCACATTGGGGCCATCGGGAAGGTAGGAGAGGGAGTCCAGGTTGCGAGCTGTCGCCACGAGCCGATGGCCGGCGCTGTGGACGAGGCTTGCCAGGGATTTTCCCAGGCCGGATGAGCAGCCGGTGACTGTGATGTTAGTTGACGGCTTGGTGTATAGGGAGGGGGTACGTACTGAACCAGACAGTTGACGAGTCAAGCATATTGATTTTATCTGTTTCTTTGGTAGCAGCGAATGCTATTACTATTTACACCTGTTAAGCGGGATGGTTGTTGTTATATACCCCACGATCCACGCAGTAAGACTTGTGAGACGGGGTTTGCGGACATAGACGCACAATGTCGACAGATGGCACGCCTTGCAGTCGTCAGCAACCGATGGAGTGGCTTAGAAAGGATTATTCCATCCATAGAGACAACTATCAGACCGCATTATCTATAACACATAACAGAACCCCGCTCTCATGCGTACCATTATCTCCACCCTCGGCCAATAACCAATACCATGAACGGCTAATGTTGGATCGTCAACCCCGAGCCAATGGACACGTATAAGGCTTGGGATAAAGCGCTAAGACTGATTCCTGGTCGATGTTATTGGTTTGATAATTCTGTAAGAAGCTTAAGCTATGCGGGCAAAGGACCAGGATTTAGTTGTGCTTGACTCATTCTGGCTCATCTTGTTGACACGTTTCTAGTGGTCGAGCCAGCAGAGGCATGATTATTAGCATTTTGTATATATATATCCCAAAAGTTCAGAATCTCCAAGACCATCGAATACGAAAAGATGGAACTGTACAAAACTCGTCTTTTCCCTCATTCTCTCCCTTCTTCACCTATCACTACTCCTTTATCCATCCTCGATGCTACCGTCGCGCGATTTGCTCCAGCAGGCGCAATTTGGCTATTCGATAGTTTCCCCGAGAACGTTCCAGAAACAGAATTTATCAATGGTCTCCAATCCTCATTTTTGCAAACACTATCGGATTACCCCCAATGGGCTGGTCAGCTGCAATGGGCCCCAGTTCGAGAGAATGGCCCTTACACTGAGCGCTTCAACCGGCCCATGATCGTCTATGGGGAGCCCAATGACCCTGGAGTTGAGTGGCGTGTCCTCAAACGAGACGACATATCAATCGGATCGCTAGTCCCTTCAGCCATGGAACGAGCAGATGCAGGGACCTGGAACGGGGACGGTTTTCCCCAGGGAGATTTCCTGAGTGAAACCCCCTTGGCATTGCATGATCTGCACGAATACCAGGGATTACCCGGTGTGCAAGTGCAAATCACACTATTCAAGGACAGCGGATACGCCATTGCAATTCGAATGGCTCATGTCCTGGCTGATGCCCAGACGTTGATGGTGTTTGTACATCAGTGGGCGGCTGCAAGTAGAGCGGCGTTTGGTTCAAAATACACAGAATCATTGATGGGCGCTCCAGTCTTTAAACCAGCGCTCTTGGACGCCCATGCTGGCGGGGATATTGATGGCCCAGCGCCGGATCCGGGACTGATTGCGACAGCGCGTGAACTGCCACTGCACCGGTTCGACTGGTGGAAGACGGATGACCCGGGATATCCGAAGGTAATGGTGCCCAGTACGCTGAACTCGATGCCTTCTCCTGAGCTACTGGACGGCATCGAACTCTCTCCGTCGACATCTGCACCATGGATGTCGTGGGACCTGTCCAGGCCAGCTTGCTACACCCAGATCCATTTTTCGGGGGATCAGCTTGCAGATCTCAAACGGAAAGCGCTGGCTGAAGGTCGAGGCGATATATCCCGTCTCGACGCATTATTAGCCCACCTCTGGATTTCCATCAACCGCGCCAGGAGTCTCGCTGATTGCCCCGACTCCGTCTTCCTAGATCTTTCTATCGGCGCTCGAACCCGCGTCTCTCCTCCTCTCCCCGACACATTTCTCGGATCACCGCTCTTCCTCGCTCATGTTGGCGCCTCAGCAAAGGCTCTTTGTGCTGCGTCCATCGGAGCTATCGCCAGCCAAATTCGACAGACAGTGGCCCTATTCACGCCGGAGAAGATTGGCGCGATGCTCCACGACGGCGCGTACGAGATCTCCCCGCAGCGGCTGTGGCAAGCGTTCTTGGGGTCTCGACATGTCCTTGTAACCTCCTGGCTGCGACTGAAAGTGTACAAAGTGGACTTTGTGGGCAATGGAAACCGTCCGCGGTATGTGCATGCCGTTCTGCCCAAGTTAGATGGGGAGGTGCAGGTAATGGAATCGGGGGTTGATGATAACGGGATGGATGTGGCACTGTATCTGGAGGAAGAGGTCATGGAGAGGCTCCTGGCTGGACAAGCGCAATTCACGGCGTAGTATCTTGGTTATACTTGATACTAATATCGGGTTGAGAATTCAGAGTGGTCTACAGCAATCACAGACAGTGGTAGAGTGACAAACGCCTGGATTCATATGGTAGTGATAGAAATCAAAAGATATTAATTACTATTTGCATGGGTCATGTACTGCTCCGAATTACGTATACCTACAATAAACCTACCTATTCATCAAGTTTACGTATTCTACTCTCCCCATAGCTGCCTCGGAGTCAGACCCCAGTAATTGGTCGCCTCCTGCCAGACTGCCTCCCCTCCTTCCATCTGTCTTACCATTTCCACCGTCTCGTCCACATTCAAAGTGCTCGCCAAATAATGTAACGCCGTGTTGCCATCAACATCTTTTGCACAGACATCAACCCCACCCCATTCCAGCAACACCCGGATAGTTGCCTTTTGGGCCTGTTGCTCGGCAACTGTCATTGGCTGTGCATTCTTCGCACCCATTTCCCCAGGCGTTTGAAATTGCATGTGGATTGGACTGAGAAGATGAAATGGACGCCAATAGGAGTCGAGAGTGCGCACGCAATGGATGCTTCTGGCGATATCTGTATTACCAGCAATAATTTGACTATTTGTCAGAGGCAAGGAAGCCACATGGAGCAGCGTGTGGCCAAGTGCTGTGACCCCGGCCGCGGCGAACCCACCAGGAATGAATCCTGCCAGCCACGAGAGAAGGTCGGGATCATGACGAGCCGTGGCAAAGTGGAGCGGGTGGACGCTGAAGATGGGTGTGCGCAAATTGGCGTCCAGCTGTGGATGGGAGAGTAGGTCAACCAGGCACCTCTGGACGCCGGTATTGTCGAGATCGCAGCGGGCGATGGCGTAGGAAAGTGGTGGGAGAGCAACAGTGGGGGTTGCGCGAGGACGATAGTTTGGCGAATACCTACAGATGGACAGAAGATGACGGAGCATGGACTGCTGGCCGGCGGCAATGGCTTCGTGGACGGGAGACGATGTCGCCAGGGCAGAGATTGGGGTAGTCTCACCTTCAATCTTGAATTGGTCCGTATCATTACTACTCGTGGTTGATGGTTGTGTCCAGGCAGACTCGTCCGCTCCTGCCGCCCGCAGGAGATCTAGAATCTCTAGACTGCCCGTCCTTGCCGCGACTTCCAGCGCTGTCAAAGCCCTGTCCATTAGCCGCATCGACATGGGCTTTGGCCTTTTTTCCTTCGCCGTCGACGGCGTTCTATCCTTCCCAGTCAACGAGAAGTTCCGTTCGGGAACGTTGAGCTCCGTCTAGAAACGGGGAAAGCCATGGCGACGCTCGTCCAACTCTGTCTCAGTCAAAGGGCAGACCTGGTGATCAATGCCTCTCTCACTTCGCGCAGTGGCTAGAACATGAGCGCGACGTTCAAACCCTGGACCAAGCCTCCTCTCGTTACGGTTGAAGTGGAAGTCACGGCCACGAATAAAGTTGACTGAAAAGTCTGCCATATCGCAAGCTTCAATGCCGTTCGGATCGGCGCCGGCGGCCAGCAGAAGACGGACATTATCTGGTAAATTGGCGCCGATCGCAGCATTTAGTGGAGACTGGATTCTGCCATCAAAGTTCACGGTACAATTGGGTGATAACCTGTCTATCGGCAATCGTTTCCATCGGGATAAGTTCTGTTCCCTATTGGATGCAGCGTAACGAGCCAAAAGCGCTTCCAGTCTGGCCAGGCTGGGTTTGGCTGCAGCGCGGATGACAGGAGTGTCAATATAATCATAGTCATCGAGATCTTCCGCCGTGAGCTGATACATTTTGAAAAGGAAGAGAAAGAAGAATATGAAGAATATGGAGGAGAAGAAGAAGATGTAGAAAGAAGAAAGAAAGAGAGCAGAAGCAGAAAAACACGCTATTGGCTTAGGGGTAGGGGGCCCAGGCAGCGCTCGAGCCTGGCCATCGGCACTTGGGAGTCGCGAGTCATTTATTATTATTATTATTATTATTATTATCTACATCTTAGAAGTGAGTATCCATAGATCCGAAGTATATTAAAGCTATCGTTTCATAGGCAGAACCTAAGCGTTACTATAATATTTAGATACTTTTAGGCCTCTGCAACTTCTATCCACAATTTATTAGAGATTATTCCCTAATTATCTTACCCCTCATTAATTTATCAAAAGGAATAAAGGATGGAAGGAAACCTAGCTTAGTAAAACTCAAGCTTAAGAAGAAGTTAGCCTTTCACTAATTAATCATAGTCTTCTATTCAGCTCCTCTACTACGTACTTTACTTGAACCTAAACCTACTAATTCTGGATTAAGATAGATGGACTGTGATCCAGTGGGTGTTGGAGAGGGCGGCGAAAATGGATGCGCCCATGGTTGGGCTGGATCCTCCTGCGAAGGCTACTTTGGGGATTTTACCGTGTACACTCGATTATGGGACAGATGATAAGTGATACGATGATATATGTCCTTCGAAGACGACGATGACTGAAGTCAAGAAGCAATACGAGGTGGATGTCATTGACCGCATAAAACTGCCAATGAGATTAAATCTATCAGTCAAGCATTGAAACAAGAGTTATTAATGTCCTGAAAGTCTTTTTCGATATTCCGTACCTGTACTCTGGAGCATGGTTGACTGCTTTAGATGACCAAAGGGTAAACAGTAGCCATAATTCATTATTCAACCATGACCAGGATATTTGAGGCGTACAATTGATTAGCACAATTAGCTTCAATATTGTCTCCAAATAATCCTCTATCCGCTCCAACCTAAAGCCCTAAGCCCGATGTCCTAAAATCCGTCTCGGTATATAGCGCAGTTGAGCCCCCATCGTCCACATCACCACCAAGAATACCGCCAAAGCTATCGCTCACCCCACTCCATCAGTACATAATGCACATCTTCATCACCGGCGCAACAGGCTTCATCGGCCCCGTCATCGTCGAACTCGCCGTCAAACAAGGCCACACCGTCCACGGCCTCTCCCGCAGCCCCAAAGGCGATGAGCTGCTCACCTCTCTCGGCGCCGTCCCCATCCGCGGCGACCTAGCCGCCCACAACATTCTCCGCGAACAATCCGCAAAAGCAGACGCCATCTTCCACCTCGCATTCGACCACGACTTCAGCAAACCCTACGACCAAATCGTCAAGCTCGACACTGAGGCCGTTGACGCGCTCGCCACCCCGCTAGTCGGAACTTCCAAGCCCCTCATCGCCGTCAGTGGGCTTCTCTCGGTGCGCCCAGACCCAGACGGCGGCGTCGTCGACGAGTCGGCGCCCTATACCGACAACAAGAAAGTCAAGCGGCATGTGTGCGAGAAGCACGCGCTGTCGTGGGCGGAGAGGGGTGTGCGGATTAATGTTGTCCGTCTCCCGCCGTACGTGTACGGCCGGGCGAACGAGACGGGGTTCACGGCAAGGATGGTCAAGATGGCTGTTGATAATGGGGTGAGCGGGTATATTGCGTCTGTAAAAGATTGCTGCGTGAGCAGTGTGTATGTGGACGATGCAGCGGCGTTGTTTTTGCTGCTGGCGTCGGATAAGACGGTTAAAGCCGGAGAGATATTTCATGGGACGGGCGACTGGAATACGACGTATGGGATGCTGGCCGGAGCGATTGGGGGGGCGGTTGGGGTGCCGGTTAGGGCATTTGAGAGGGAGGAGGCGGAGGAGAGGTGGGGGGAGTTCCTGTCGAGGTTCTTTGGCTTGGTGATTCGGGCTTCGAATGGGAAGGCTGTCGAGAGGTTGGGTTGGAAGCCATCGGGGCCGAGTTTGGTAGAGGAGTTGGAAACGGGGAGTTATCGGCAGGTAGCGGAGAGGTTTAAGCAGATGAAGGAGTAGCAAATTTGATATCTCATGACTGTATTAGAAATTAGCACATGCAACAATACCTAGAGATCTGAATCTCTTGCAATGCGCTAATTTCTACAGCTTTGAAGGCTGCAAATCACAGATTCCCGGCTTTAGGCAATTCGAGGGGCGAAAGGATTGCCCATCTCACTTCGCTTCTCCACAGGGTATATGAGGAGAAATGCCTGCTTAGCAAATTGACTCCTATCGTGTGCAGCTCCGCTAATTGTGCGAGCTGTGAGGCATAGGCGTAACCCTGAACCGTTGCCGGGGTCTGGGTGCCCACACAAGCCAATCCTCATCAACTTCACACTTAAGGATGGAAAAACAATGGGCACCTATTCAGGTAGCAATATATTTACCTAGGATGGTATAACCCATTATCTGTGGCATGCTGAGGTTGGCTGCGCGAGTACGCGTCCGCCTGCCGCTCGGCACTATTGCAGCTGAACTATGGACCATGAATCATGAGAATGAGCCTAATTTATCACTGGTATTTAAGTCTTCGCAAGTACTTTACATAGGTAAATTCCTATATCACTGAGTAGAAGATAATGATAAGAGGAAAGGACCCAAAAAGCATTAAGATTGATAATCTCATTCTTCTGTATGAGCTCAGCTAACTAACAGATGTCCCACAGTAGGTTGTTTGCTAGGATAACTTTTACACGAGTGCAACACCCCAAGCTCCAGAATCGCCCGTAAAACTGGTATCATAACATGTTCCTGAAGTCAATTTCACCAATTCCTTCGCCGAGTCACAAGCTCCACCTTTGTACACAGTGACAGAATAGACAGGTTCATCAAAATCGGCCTTAAATCCGTGGGAATTACCAGTCCAGGTAACACAGCCCAATTGAACGAGAGCCGAACCATTCTGTCTTATCGCTCATTCCACTGCAGTCGGCTTCCCAGTAGGCGTAGACCCAAAAGTGGGGGCCATCGCTGGTCACAGTGGCTGGACTCGTGGTGGTGGTTGTTGGCTCCGTTGTTGTCTCATCAAAGACAGTCAGCGGCCCATAAAGTGAGGATAGAACGGAATCCAGGGAACTAGCAATGCTTTCAAAGGCTGCCGGATTATCCGTCATGACTGGCCACTGCTCTAGGGTGACGCCAACGCCCGGCGGTGGTGTACCGACGGTTTTGCTGCTTGACGGCGTTTCAGAGCACCCAGTAGTGGTTGAGCAGGCAAAGTCACACCCGGAGCCCGCAATGCAGGCTGTGGAGCAGACGCGCGCCGTTTGTGTGCTGCAGTCCTCGTTGTCGCCCTCAGAAGAGCCACTGCCGCTGCCGGATCCCCCGCCACCACCGCTTGACCCGCCTATATTAGAGGGGCAGAGTAAAGAGACGGACAAAGGCCGGTTAATGGGCACGGCCTGTGTCTGAAATATATATTCAGCCACACTCAACGAAGTACAGGTATTTGCTCGAAATTACAGTGCCCTTCCCTCCATTCCGTTGGACCTAAGGCTTCCAGTTTGGCCTGGAAGTCCTCGGTAATGGTTCTACGGCCAACGACAACATGATGCACTATGATGTCTATGTGAAAATCCCGATAAATCTTGGCTTTCTCTGCACTTTGCCAAAAATGAGGCCATAGCATTAACTGCACTTCTTTACCGTGCAAAGTTTCTGTTTCATGCGCCCATATCTGCATGGGTCTTCGCTTTTGAAATAACATCGTCCGGGGCACACCAGGACCAAAGGCTGCTGGGACAATGCCTGGTAATTGCAAGATCTCAGACTGCTTGTCTCGAGTCACTGGTGCCGGAAGGTAGACCCAGAATAATTGAACGTATGAACTTCTCAGATAGTCAAACCAAACCGGGATATGGCCTCGGGGATCAAACTCATGGGACCCTAGGGGTACTATTGCTCGAGCCGCAAGACTTTCCCAGTGGAGTTGGGCAGAGAGTGAGGCTGTGAATCCTCTAAGAGCAGAGGCAGTCTTCCATACTGGAGAGACCGGGATTAGACTGGGGCTGATGTACTAGTACCAGGCCTGTACTTACGTGAGGCCAGGAGGACTATGTCCGGCCGCTCCAGAATCCTTGCCCATACAGATTCGACATGACCTGCAGCCTGGACCAATGGCTGAAAGAGTTGGTTCCATTCGGTGATATTGAGCTCCTCACCGTGTGGAACTTGGAACTCGGTCCAGACGGTTATCTGTGCGGGTGACATTCCAAGTACGAGGTAGAAATTTTCCAGCCAGAGATGGGAAATCAGAAGCTAAGGATCGAATAGAAGGACTACTCTTAATGAGTGACTGGTGGGGCAGATAAGATAAATTACACTCTACTAGTACTTACATAATTCATATGGCGCACGCTCCACTGCGCCCGAAACAATCTAAGTATATACTCAATGGTGTTGGTGAGTGCATGTTGCGATATTTTTTTGAATTTTCATGGATTACATAACATTATTTCATATAACGTAATCCACGGCCGAGCCATCCACACGGCCGTCCCGTCCATTTTCGCGCCCGTCTTCTACAATCATTCTTCAACACGTCATTTTTTCACCACTACTACATAAAATGCCGCTCTCTCAAGAAAACCGGATGCAAATGGCTATTGCAGCTTATAAAAGTAAAAAAGTTTAATCAAAATCAAGGGCTGCAGCCATATTTGGAGTGCCTAAATCTACCTTCCTTGATTGGCTTAAAGGAATCAATCCACGGTCAGAAACACGTGCTAGTGGCCATAAATTAACTATAATTGAAGAGGATGTCCTTATTAAGAGACTGTTAGATGCAGATAAGTGAGGCTTTTCAATCCATCTAGAGTTTCTGTGTGGAATGGCACAGACTTTACTTCGTGAATGTTCCTAAGATGCTACTGCAGTTCTTGGAGTTAACTGGGCCTCCTCCTTTATTAAATGCCGTCCTGAACTATGTGTAAGATATAATTAAAGGATTATATACCAGCGTGCAAAGCAGGAGAATCCAAAGGTTATAAAATAGTGGTTTAAAGCTGTATCTGAAGCTATTCAGGAACATGGTGTCCATGAAGATGATATCTAGAACTTTGATAAGACTGGCTTTGTAATGGGACTCTGTACAATATCTAAGGTTATTACTACTATAGAGTGCAGTGAGAGACCTTATATAGTCATCTAGGGCAATCAGGAATTAGTTACTATCATTGAATATGTGAGCTCTAAAGGGCTATCTATCCCACCAGTACTCATCCTAAAGGTAAAACAACACCAGGCTACTTGGTATTAAGAACCTAAGCTTCCTCAAGACTGGTTAATTGCTAAAATGGCTAGATAATAGATGAGATAGGTCTCTGCTGGTTAAAAGATGTATTTAAGCCTTATTCTAGGTGATATTCAACTGGTGCAAAGCGGCTGCTTATTCTTGATGGCCATTCTAGCCATTTAACTCTAGAATTTGATACTTTCTGTGAGGAGAATGCAATTATCTATCTCTGTATGCCACCTCATACTTCTCACCTTCTACAACTGCTGGATGTTGGTGTTTTTGGCCCACTTAAGCGCGCATATGGGAAACTCGTTGAAGGGATGATGGTGGCTGGGAATAATCACATTGATAAAGAGGATTTTCTACATCTATATCCTCCTGCGCGCGAGATGATCTTCAATCATGAGAATATATATAGTGGCTTTGCAGGAGCTGGACTTAAACCACTTAATCAAGACAGGGTTCTTGAAAAGATTACTTTTTAGCTTTATACGCCAACGCCACTACTTCTTGAAGGTTCAGTATTATCTGCCTTTCAAACACCTTAGAATACTCACCAGCTTGATCACAAGCTCCGCAGCATACAGAGAAGCCTTCAGAAAAGAAAGCTTTCTAGTAGTCTAATGTCTCATATCTAACATCTTGAGAAGGCTGCACAGATGGCAATGAATGTAAACCTGCTACTACAACAAGAAATCAAGGTTCTACGGGCAGAGAATGAACGAAAAAGAAAGAAGAAGGCAAGAAGACATGCTAATCTAGGTGATGATACCATATTATCAGTACAAGAAGGCCAGAATCGTGTTCAGCAGCTTGATATGCCACTTATTGAGCAGGTTGATGAGCCCACACCTATACCTCGTCAGCGCGCTGCACCACGCTGTAGTGGATGTTGGACTGTTGGACATACCATAAGGAGTTGCCCTAATAGTTAGCTATATATTCAGCTACTTAATAGTCTAATTTAATGATGTTAGGGGTTGAAAGGCTTCAAATCTGCAGCAGATGGGCGCAAAAATGGACGGGACGGCCGTGTGGACGGCTCGGCCGTGGATTACGTTAGGTTAATGACCATACCACTTTGAAACAAAGTACAAAATCAGTCTGAAATTCATGATTAATTTAATATATATATATATATTTTCCACACGTTTTGGAAGGTACATATTGATTGAATATTATAAGAAAAAGGAATGGATGGAATGATTAAGTTGGCTATCATAAATAACCACCTGAGGACGTATATCTTCCAGTAGGCAACTATGCTATTCAGCCAGCAAAAGCAGGAGGTACAAGCTTTGTTTAATTTTCTCTAAATTTTGCCGAGGGGTAGACTGCCTGTTCCGCTGGTCCCTTCTTGGATTGTCTGCGATGGTTTCGGCCGGCGTGCTGGCCTCGCCGTCGGTGCACCTGTCTGCTGCGTGGGCGCTGCACTGTAGAGCGGTGCTCAAAATCACCCCATGTTCGTCGTCGCACGCGGCATTCTCGGCTTTGGGACGGTCTTCCTTGGCTCATCGGGCCATCCATTGATCACAGAGATTGCTCACCCAGCGCATCGAGCCACCGCAACTGCCATGTTCAACACTACCTACGCCCTAGGTGCGATATTCGCAGCGTGGGCCACTTTCGGCACGTTCCCTATCGATGGCAGTGCCACATGGCGCGTCCCATCTGCCATCCAAGGCCTCCCATCTCTTCTCCAGCTCCTTGGTCTATGGATGGTTCCCGAGAGCTCTCGTTGGCTTGTGTCCCAGGACTGAGGGGATGAAGCGCTTCAGCTCTTGGCAAAATACCATGCCGAGGGTGATTCCGACGACGCGCTTGTTCGATTCGAATACAACGAAATCGAGGAGGCCCTTGCGTACGAACGTAGCATTAGCAAAAAGAACTGGATCCAGAGTTATCTGGAGTTTACTCGGACCTCGGGAAATCGAAAGCGACTTTTCATACTCCTGTGGAGTGCTTGCTTTGCCCAGGTAATATCTGCAATTGTTTTCGCCCCCTTTCATTGTATTGTGAAGCTAACTCATACCGGACGAACCCTTCTAGATGTCGGGAAATTCATTCATCTCATACTATCTCTCTCCGGTTTTGACAACAGTTGGCTTGACGTCAAGCCTCGAACAGACCCTGATCAATGCAACACAGCAGATGCTCTCCTGGATTTCCGCGCTATACTTCGCGACGCTACCGAAGAAACTTGAACGTCGAGTTCTCTTCCTTGGGTCAAGAGTAGCCCTCTTCTGTTGCTAGATTGGTATCACCACAGGCTCTGCGGTGTTTGCTCAGGATTCCTCAAACAAAGCTGCCGGTGGTGCCGTGGTCGCTTTCCTCTACTTGTTCTCGCCGGCCTACAACTTTGGCATCAACGGTAATTTGGGGCTATACATTGCCGAAACCCACCCGGTCCATCTTCGTATGAGGGACCAGGCTTGTTTTCAATTCTTTGCTAAGTGTTTCACGCTGCTCGCCACATATGCCTTCCCCGTTGGACTTGAAAACATGGGATGGAAGTTTTACACCATCTTCATCCCCTGGGTGGCTATTGAATTCATTGTGGTGTACTTCATCTACCCTGAGACCAAAGGATGCTCCCTTGAAGAGATTGCGCTTATCTTGGATGGGGAACCTGCAGAGCACAGTGAAGATGGCGTCAGTCGCTTTCATGGCAAGATCGTTGACGCGGAGCATGTCGAAGTCACTCATTGAGTTTGTGTCCCATTGCTGAGGGCAAGTGAAAGAAAGCAGACAGTAGAGTTATGTCAAGGAGCGATGAGTGAGATTATTTCAAGTACCCAGTGAGGTAGCCCGAGGAATGTGAACATACCTAAGGTTGAGAGCCGAACACGTATTCAGTTGGAAAGTAAGTTTTGTCCATGGAGTGACTGGCATCTGGCTGATGTATGATCAAATATTTGGCTTCTTGTGTTCGACCGGGGATAAATAAGCTGACTAGGCAAACGAACAGTTTTGAAGTGAACAAAGAAAGGTACTTGAGTCGTAGCAACGTGCTGGCGACTTGGTGATCAGTTGCCGTTTGACAATCCACTCAACTACCGTGGATTCGGCTGAGATATATCCAGATGAACCCGATCCGATGGCCGCAGAATCCTGATCCAGCGCCATTCTCAACAGGAACACTAGCCACGTCAGGGATAAAGCTAATTGTAGGCCCAAGCAGTAAACATTGTCTGTGTATAATTCAGAACAGGGGATCTACGGCCGTACAATTACAAGTCTCTTCCACATAGCTACAATTGAAAAATAATACATTGCACCGAATGACTGAATTAGTGATATAACAGGAGTCGTAGCCCAGAAGTATCAAGACGGGGAAAGACATGGGTAAGAAGTACAGATTGTCGGCTACGAAAGACGTGGCAATTCCCAAGGGGGACACCTCAATCACTGAAATTCGACGACAAGTTTTGTGCCCCGACCTTCGCCCTTGCGAAGCGTCTCCAGTCCTTCAAAAATTTCTTTGAAACCGCCCTTAATAGTGGTGATGGGTGGAGGTCTCACAACGTCAAGGCACAAAGTTGACAAGTTGCCATAAAAGTTGCTGATGACCTCGCGATCTTTCGGCATCACCGGGTACACGGGGCCAAGGGGTGCCATCAACTGAAACTTGCGACCAAAGACAGTGTAGATCATGAGGAAAGTGTAGGTCACGTTTGCCTTCTTCGGTTTCCCTTGGTCGAGAAGCGTGACTACTTTGCCCTCCCGTAACACATCAGCACAGAAGGAGGCCGAACTGCCTTCAGAAAAGCAGTCAAGAGCTTTTGTGATATTTGGATAGGCGTTCTTGATTTCGCCAATCGAAGCAGAGTTCCGGTAATCATATACTGCATCGGCACCATAGCGCTTTGCGAGGTCAAAGGAACGTGGCGAAGCCGTTACCACAACCTTATATCCTGCTCTCTTGGCGAGCTGAATAGCAAAGAGACCAACATTCGAACCTCCCGAGTAGATGAGAATAGTCGGTTGGTCACCCTGGGTGCTGCGCCCGTTCTCAATGTCCGCCCAGGGAATGTCAAGATACGCAAGACTCAGCATCGCGGTGGCTGCGGGAACTCCATAAGTAGTGGCTTCGCCCAGAGTCATTTCGTCAGGCACCTTCCAAGCCAGGTCTCCGTCAACTTTCAGGTACTCTGCGAACGAGCCGATATCAGGATATAATCCACCGTGAACAAAGCCAGCAATTCGGTCTCCCACTTTCCAGCGCTGTCCCGAATTCTTGCCGACCTGAGTTACCTCGCCCGCATAATCGCAGCCAATGGCGGAGTTACGCGGGGAAAAGAAATCAATATCTTTGAAGTCAATCGGGTTCAGCGCGACGGCACGCACCTTCACCAAGACCTCATTGTCGGTGATGCTTGGAATGGGGACATCCTTGACTTGGGCGCCCTGTCCAAGCGGACTACCGAGAGCGAGACTCAGCAGCCGCTTGGGCAAGAATCGATGTGTGATGATCGCTTTCATCTGGTCGGTGGAACGGCAATGTTGTAAAATCGGCTTCGATTTAGTCGGCGGGAGGAGGAAGACAAGCAAGTACTGAACAGACGGAGGAGTCCTGCGCAGTGCGTGTGAAGAATGTTGCGAAAACTAACCTTACGTTGATGTTGCGAGCGAACAGAGCGTTCAATAATGACTCTCTGGAAAATGCTGACTGTTGTAACAGGTTACAGGCCGGATGAAACTCAGGCCGACGGGAGCAAGGGATGATCACCAGGCGGTTAATTCATGGTCGTTGCATTTTCAGCATGAATGTCGAAGAAAAAAGAGTTTGGTTCGCCCGCAACAGCGGTATATTATTGAGAGTGGCAGATGTATTACATTTCACGACGCTTACAAACCAGCATATACCGGGCAGACTTTCATGGAACCCGCATTGACTAGCCAATTTTAACTTTTGAGGACTTCGAGGTGATTACAGTAGTACCATCCACGGCCAAGTCGATTGAGTTTCCACGGAACAGCTGATGGGAGTGGAGCCTCGGGCCATCACCCCAGGTCGGGAACGATGAGTCGACTCTCCGAGTGTGCGACTAGCTGTCAAATGTCAAATCACTCACTCATCCACCCGATTCCGAACCTAGGAATGGGATCGCTGATCAAGTGCCGACGATGAGTGAGAATTCCATTGCCTCGTGTGCGGGCCTCCTTAGTGACTATACTGAATTCACACTCAACCGACCCGACAACCGTCCTATGGCAAAACACCAGCGTAGAAGTCTCGGGCTGCCAAGAGGTTGACGAATTGCCCTATAAAACATACAACCTGTCCCTGTCACATAGACCCTTCCGCCAGTATCTATCCTCAAAGAAACCTCTTCACTCCCAATTGCGCTTCAAACAAACATAACACTACAATGACGACCCTTCAAACCGTTCCGACTTCGTTTGTCTCCGTCAATGGACTGAAAATCGCTTACCGGCGCTTCGGGGCAAGCAGTCCCTTGCCTTTGGTCTATGTCAACCATCTTCGTGGTAGCATGGATACGCTCGATCCGCTTCTGTTTAACAGCATCGCCAAAAGCCGCGAAGTGATTGTCTACGACAGTGCTGGTATTGGACACAGCGAAGGAACCGTGCCAGACTCCATTCCCGAGATGGCTGCGATCGTTGTCAACCTTCTTGCTGCGCTTGAAATTCCAAAGGCCGATTTCATTGGCTTCTCCATGGGCGGCGGTATCGTGCAGCATATTGGATTTGAATACTCTCAAATTGTCAACAAATTGGTCCTGGCGGGCACTCAACCGGGAATCGGCGAAGGTGTGGCTTTGCCCCCGCGGGAGGTTTTGGAAAGCGCTGGAGCAAACAACGACCAGCCACCAACGGAAGATGACATGATGAACCTTTTCTTCTATCCCTCCGAGACCAGCCTCGCCCTCGGCCATGCCTGGTGGAAGCGGATCCACGAGCGCAATGTTGAAGGTGAACCCCGGAAGGCGTATCTTACCGGGACCGGGGCACAGGCGCAGCTCGCTGCGATTTTCAAATTCACCACCGATACTCGCAATTTTGAACGTTTGGCAGACATCAAGGCCCCGGTTCTTGTGACGAACGGCCATACGGACATTATGTCGCCCACTTCAAACAGTTTCGTGCTGCAGCAAAAGATCGCCAATGCCCACCTGCATCTTTATCCCGACGCAGGGCACGGACATCTCTTCCAGGTGCCGGAGCTTTACGCAAAGGAGCTTGAGCTGTTCTTGAACAACTGAGTTGTTGATTATTGCATCACTTCTATTGTTGGATCGCATCTGTTGGCGACTCGGTAGCGGGTGCCTACATATCGAGGACCGAGGGCACAGGTCGTGTGCGACGACGCTAGTCAACACAATCACTCGGAGGCAGGGGTTGATGCAAGTATTTACTGCTAGATTACTTCAGCTTTCACGATAAATCATTTTCTTGGTCTTAATGAAATTGAACTACCTTAGCTCTTCTGCGTACCACTGCATTTTCATTTTTCTTGAAAGCCCCGCGGTGCCACATCTGAGGTTGCAGAGTCTGCTGATCCAGATTGAGCAGCAACCTTGAGAGCTGTCCAGCTCAGAGTCTAAAAATTAGAGTCTGATATGAAAAGACGATTTGGACTACAGGCCCTTCAGCCTCGTGACATCTCGATGATCCAATGCCACTGTTACAAGTAGCCCATTTACCGATTCCATCGTTCTTGGGCGAAGAGACGATAGAACCCTCGGGTCGGCTGACTACCCAACACCATGCCCGTGAAACTTTACGTGGTCGATAACAGTATGGTCTTGTTTTCGATGGTGGCATATGGGTTTACTTCAGCACTGTGTGAAATTATCAGCAACTCCGATGGAGCTCGAGAACCCTGCATCGTTGAATGTACATGTTGAAGCTGCTTCGAGCTGTATCTCAGATTCAACACGTAGACAGATCTACTTCAATGCAGATTACGGTCGTGGCCTGATACGTAATCAAATGATGGATGAAGCTAGATTAAAACTGGGCACAGCCCTATTTGCGCTCTGTTTGGCTCCCTAACCCCATTCAAAATGGCTGTGACAAAACGAACGCTGGGACAATCAGAGAAACAAACAGCGCCAAAGAATTCAAGCAAGGAAAAGACCTGTGTCGGCCGACTATGTGTGGGAGTGTATAATCCGAGTCAAGCGTCAAAAATGAACGCTGGTAATGAGAAAGAACGATAAAAGATGCGACGAAACGAGTGCTGCTTTCAACGAATAGAGGCAGCGCGACGGTAACTATTGTGCCTTCTGCCGATCCTGTTCAGCCTTCTCCGCGGCGCGGATCTTCTTGGTGATGTCCGGCAAATGAGCAGCAGATGGGAGCAACGTGTCCTGGCTGTAGGTTAGCGAGGCTGAATTGGGCCAGTAGTTCATATATCAACGGGAAAATGCCTACCCATACAGTCGACCAGCCAAAAGTTGAAGCCAGCCATGTAATTAAAGCCTTGCCTCCTGACCAAAGATGCTTCTTGGGGCTTGATCGGAGTGCGTTGTTGACCACGACCTCAGCATAGGAATTGACATCCATAGCATTTTTCTCTACCTCGGTTCCAGCCAATGCAGGCTCGATCACATCCTTTGCAGGGTAATAGAGCGAGTTCTCAGGTAGACGTGGCGCACTTGGGAGGTTGTCAAAGAACTTAGTCCTAATTGCACCAGTAGTGACGAGGATTGCGCGGACTCCCCAGGGAGAAAATTCAAGGCGCATCTGGTCAGTCATAATAGCAACTGCAGCTTTGCTTGCGTTGTAATATCCTTGCCATGGGAATGGCATTTTACCAAGCACCGACCCGATGTTGATGATTGTTCCTTTTGAGGCGATCAGAAGCGGTGCAAATGCTTGAGTCACCGTGACAACAGCAAAGACATTAACATTAAACATCTTTTTGGCAACTGAGACATCCGAGTCCAGTAGAGGCATGCTATAACCTGTTAAACCATTAGTACTTAGAGATAATTTGTGAGAAAAATTGCTTTGAAGGTGTAAGACTTACCTGCGCCTGAGTTATTGACCAGGATATCCAAATATCCACCGGTAGCAGCCTTCACAGTTGACACTGCTTTTTTGATTGACTCTTCGTCAGTGACATCGAGCTGTATAATTTCAAGGCCCATGTCCTTGAGATGTTGGACTTTGGCGGTATTCCGAGCGCTGGCGAAAACTCGAAGGCCCTTCTTGTGGAAGGTTTTCGCGAGAGCGTCACCTATTCCACCTTCACTACAACCTGTGATGAGGACTGTCTTCTGACCCATTTTCGCGATGAAAGGTATTTGGTGGTGGGGGAGTGCCTAGGCAGCAACTTGAAACTTGTCTGGTAGGTAAAGCAATAATACAAGTGATGTCGAGAATGGAAGCACGCGAGCTAAATATACAATGCACGCTCTCACTCCTGTGTCGTTCTGACGGACGAATTCCAGTGAAATTAGACGAATTGAACATCTCCGATACTACCGTGTTCCCGGGCGTAGATTAGCAATCATGAGTTCATCGATTCCGCATGGAATCTAGCAAAGGCCATTGATCCAGGCAAAACTTAAACGGTCGGGTCATTTTTACCGTCGGGTTGCTTAGAAGGCGTTCCCGCACCGGGTTCCATCGTTGCCCCGGCCGCCGCCAACTAACCGTTTTAAGTTTGCTTTTGGCCCACCTACTCAGGTCAAGCGCAACCCCAGCGGGACCCCATTTTTTCTAAAGGCGTACATCCCGTTATGGCCTAGACTCGGATTGTGCCAAACAAGGTTTGGAGAACTAGGGTCCACTGATACAGTAAGATACGCTAAAGTACAAAGTATGAACACATGCCTGAATGTGAGGCCTCGAAAGAATTCTTTCAAACCAGATGTCAAATCGGGAGGGCAAGATCACCACAGATATTGTACAGTAGTATGTATAGACACATCATGCATATTTCGCCAAGTAATTGGTGCTCAAACTAATGAGTTCAACAAGTTTACACAATTGTTGACAAAAGCAGGGCCTCCTCCACATCACCACGTTGAAACCCAGGTGTTCGACCCAGGCAAACTCCTCTGGGGATCAATGCTATTAAAGTCAGAATAATCATTATGAACAAGGCACAGAGGTGCAGACTTACCGGATATAAAACGCGAGACATTGATATTGATCTGCCCTTCCGAGAACCTTGTTGGCTCACCTGCTGACACGACCAGGAGCACATTCTTATCGCGAAGATACCCCTTTAGATCTTGCAAGTCAAACCAATCCCCTTCTAGCTGCTTTCGTAAATTTGCCGTAACCAGTGATAAGGGGTCCTCCACGGTGCCCCATCTCTGGAAAGGAGGGACAAAGGCACCCGCGCTCCCGTCAGGATAATGGGTTCCCGCACGCCCCAATCTGAAAAAGGGGACTTCCTCCCATCCGTCCAACGGCTTCCGGTTTACTTGAGCATATAATTCTGCTCTGAAGTAAGAAGTCAGGCGGTCACGGTTCATCATAGTGAAAATGAGCCCAAAGGGCCTTTGGAGTTGATCCATGCCGAAGGACGGATTGCTTAGAGCCAGATGTCCCTGATAAAGACCTTCTAGGAGCAGCCTTTCAAGGAATTCGGTCACGTCTATAATCGACGTTCCAGGTGACTTGACGGCCACCGGTAGGACAGCACTTTTAGGATGATATACTCTGCTGTCCACCAGGGGCAAGTGAAGGGGGACGTCCAGAGAGAAGCGCTTGGTGGTAGATTGTGGTGGGGATGGCGGCAAGTCAGTTGCTCTATTGGAGTCAACCGGGGTCCTCGTCCCCTCGTCAATGCTTGCCCCGGATGCCAAAGAAAGGAATATCTTCACCGTATCACGTAAATTGGTGGTTAAAGCAGACTGTGACCTAAGCACACCACTGTGGACCAGCTGCTCACTGAACGACAGCATAGCAGAGCTCATTTTCTCTATCGAGGTCTCCAGAAAGGAGATTCGATTCCTGAGGCTTTCCACTAATGCTTGCTGTCGTGAACGATATGCACGTTGTGCCAGGCGAGTTTGCATGCGCCTCCGCTATCACAAGTAGTCGATCCGGTCAGTACCCTTACCTCATTCGTGGAGGTCGATCAATGGCCCACGAACCTCTTCAGGACTTTCGTTTCTACCTCCATCGTCTCGGGGAGCTCCGCGGTTCTTCCCTGACGGTGCGGCCTTCTTGGATCCACGTCGCTGGCGTTTTTGTGGCCCCGGTGCCGTCGGTTTAGGAAGGGGTGTTTGGTTTGTGTTCGTCGGGTTTAAGTAAGATTCAAGCTCAAGAGCTAAGTCGCCATGACTGGTTGATGGCGTACTATTTTGAGCATTTTGAGTGTTATGTGACTTGGGCAGGGAATAGGAGCGAGCTGAGAGCAATGAGTTGATATCAGAGGTCGCGGACTCGTGTAACAAGGGGTCAGTAGGTTCGGATGAGGATGTGCTTTCACGGAACTCATCCCAATTGAAGGGAGGCAGGTCGCTTGACAGCCGCACTGGTAATTGTTGGTCCATGCTGTGACGGATATAGTCACGGTCAGTCAATCGAGAGCCTGTCGGCCAGGAGATAAGACAGCCTGTATTAGAACCTGACCAGCGCTGGCTGATCGTCCAGCCAATTAACTTTCAGTAGACAGGCCGTTTCGAGATTAGTGAACTATGGAGTGATTCTACCCGGGACCGTAGGATGCTCCCGTGGGGCAACCTGGAAGGCTAAACTTTGGCTCGGCAAGATCACTCATCATTCCGTTTGATGACGCAACTATCCAACGAATCACGTCCACGTCCAAGCTTGGGTCGTACGAAACTTAAATGCTTACTAATGAGTTTAGAGAGGAGAATGGAAGGTGAGCAGCACGCTGGAAGCTGAAGAAAGTCGGTCCTGGCCGGCTTCCAAGAATTGGCAGTTCGATGGACAAGAAATGGGAAAATGAGAAGGGGTCTCGCCAGCCACTCGACCAGTGACCGCTCATCAGCTTAGGATGAATGTGGCTGGAGTTAGGGTTTAGTACAGCCGCTTATAAAAAATACCCATGTATTTCAATGTATTGTATGCGCTCTGAACAAATCAGCAAATTGCAATTCTTGAGTACTGTGACCCTGGAGCTGTCCTTGCACCGTGTTCATAGAATTTGCCTTTGACCTAAACCTGTTCATGTCAAGTCTCAATTTCGGTTTCTGTGATGGTCTTGATTCATATTTGACTAATTGTGAAAGATGTGGCGATCTAAGTTGACTAGTTCTGTGGCTCAGGAGGT